AGCTAGCCCACATCGTGACATTAGTCACAGGACGATTGAAACGTGTCTAGAGCAGTGTCCGGAGGGCGTAGTCGGGTCCCCAGGTGCGCCGTCAGCTGTATGTGCGCATTTTTCGTGAGCTGACATTGTGCGCACCAGAGCGAAAAAGCACAGCACGTTGGCACGCGTGCGATGACAGAACCATCGCAGTGCTCCGCACGCCGTGCAGAGGTCAGGGGACGCCCCCAGGCGGCGTCGGATGCATGGGCGGGACGTGGGGCGGCTGCGACGGCGCGGTGCTGGCGCGGGGGTGTGGTGGATGTTTCCTGTTCGATTTGGGCTCAATTGTATCTTTTTGTGTGCGGTGCAATACATGTGATTCATTATTATTCGAAGCGAAAGTGTGCGAACAGACGGGGACAGACGGAAAAAGACGACGAACGGCAAATAGCTTTTTGTGTGCTTATGGACCCATATTTGTGCATTGACCTGCATACCTGTGCATATCTGACCACTTGTGCCTTTTGGGCGGACTGAAACGGGCGGAAAAAGATGAGAATCGTGAGCAACAGGGAAGGTTCTCACTGGGGGTCATGCCCGAATCTCGACTCCCAAGTCCGACTCTCCGTGAAAGCTGCGCTGGAGTAGTCGGCCCCGTCCTCCCGCACCCGTAGCGTCCTATGCATAGGTCAGATTCTCCCGGTATGCAGACGTCGTCGCTCGGTAAAGCTTATAGACTCAGTCATGAACCCTTCTGTTGTCTAATGACATTTTGGCCAGCACTTCCCGTACTTGACCATGTAGCGTCAAGTTCTGACATCTGATTCGGCCACAGCGCCGCGTCGACATTGCCAAGGGCTCACCAGCAGCTCACAACACCAACAGATCACGTCTAGGGTTTTGGGATGATGTTATCCATCGGGCCGCTCGCAGTAGACTTCACATGCTCCGAAATCATGTTCGGTATGTCACATACCTATCCCACTAACATCTCCTATCTCATGATTCCACCACGTTGCACTGTTCCAAGTCGAAGTTCGATAGTTGTCATATGGATGTGCACCGGACGCGGTCGCTTGTCCTCCTGGAAGATCACACTTCAAGATGCGGCAGCGTCCTGAATCGTGCCTTCTACACAGTCCAAACATTGCGCCCGTGACCTACGGTCTTCGGTATCGTGCACGTCCGCACCCTGGTCGGACGCATGTTCGCTATGCACCGGATAACGTACTCTATAGTCCACGATCAAGCTGGCGAGTCGGATGCTCCGAGCTCATGCTGGCTTCACAAAACCAAGATACGCTGTGGCGGAGAAGTCTCTCTCGCCCGTCGTCACTGCTCCCGTGGCACTGCATCGTCCCCAGGCAGAACCCAGGTGCCAGATAGCACGTCGCCGTTCCCGGAATTGCAAAGGAATCCCCTTACAACTATCTCGTTGCTTTCCAACTCGGATCCGCGGGGTTTTGCGCTGTGATTTAGAGAAGCAAGGATCACTGTCCTGAAAGCTACCATAGCGCTTGTCGACAGTGCCTCGGAAAGTCGTAACAGGAGTTTGCGATGGATGCTGTAATGGGCACAGGTAAGGCGGGGGAAGATGTGGGCCAGTGTCCAGCGGCGATGTGCCATGTTGCGCGCGCGGTGATGTTCTCTCCTAATCAAACGCTACTACAATGGGTGGCCATTGGCAGGGGCAAATGTAACGATCATAGTATTTGACCCAGAAGCCGACCACAAGCTGCAGTAGAGCGGCGGAAACCCACCGCTGACAAACGTTCTTCGCTCATAGAACCTGACGGATGCGTTGCCTTCTCAGTGACGCAGGCACTGATACCATACCCATATGTTCGCAGCTCCAGGCCACGTCATCTGTATGACCGCCGTTGAATGCGGGAGCGGTGGACGAACACTGATGATACGTCCGGGCGGTGATTAAATGTAGATATCCCCCATCTATGCCAGAGACAGAACGAACGACTGAACCGACCCTCCGCCCCTATACGAGCTCATTCCCCTTGATGTTCTGCATGCTATATTCCTATACGGCGATGCCATGACCATCAGCGCTCTGCGTCCTCAGCAACCGACTTACAGAGCTACTCCGACTACGGGGGGTGGCGCTCACATTCTCCAATTCGTGCCCGACGTTATGTAGGCCAAGATCAGTGGTCACCATCGTCTGCTGGAACACCTCGACCTTGGGCTGAAGGGGACGGCGCAATCAGAGGGCGGTCCGGCCAAAGCGAGGCCCAAACTGAGTGCACGTACGACTGGTGGGGCACGGAACCCGTTGTTGCTGTACGACTCGAAACTGGGGTACTGAACCGGGTTGTTCTTGCTCCTGATGTGGGCGCGAGCGTTCAAGCTATGCGAATAGAGTCAGCACCTCCCTTATAGATTACCAAAGAAGAGAGCCGTGACTGACCTCCCAAGGAACGAGTTCGCGTAAACTGGTGGACAGATCTCCGTCAATTCCAAGTCCGATCTCAGTGCAGAAGACCGACGTCACTCACGCTTTCCTTGGATCTCGACAATGCCCAAGAAGACCAAGCTTTTGGATTGCGTCGCATACTGAAGACACGTCAGCGTGGTCATTCCACTAGTCAAGTGCGGATATAATGACTCGCCAGTATGACTGAGAGCACGGACGCGGCACTGAGGTATGCGATGACGATGAGTACAGCAAGATGATACGCTGGTCGACGACGACATACGCAGTGATCGCTCCTGAGTTGACCGCGTACAACATGATCAAGTTGACCCTGCTCTTCGAAACCCTACAGACCGGTTACGATCACCAATCGCACACCCTTCTCATACGTGAGGAGGACGTACTGCGGGAAGTCGCTGCGCCCGCGCGAGAGATACCACGAGAGGGTCAAGGCAACCAGAACGTCCACGAGCGCGGCAGCACCAAGCCCCCCACTGACCGTGACCTGATTGACGTAAAGCACATCAGGAGCGATATTCCTATAGCAGAAGAAAGGACAGCGATGCCGCGCACCAGAGACGACTTTTGGGCCCTAAAGGCAGACCATTCGCGGAAGCGGTAGCTCAGAACAGTAGATCCGATACCAAATGCAATTCTGCAGACCACGCAAAACGCGATACCGCCCGTGAGCAGCCTTCGGGAGTTGCTCACTGTAGGAGGTAATCATACATAAGCAAGCATCTAATGTCTGTTGGAAATCGTGTCACGTACTGATCCAGACTCGGCGTACGTAGAACCTAAACGTTGGTCAGCGCGCAGCAAATGTCTGCCGTGCAAGATTCACTCACGATTGCACCATGGTGGACAGGACGACTTCGGTCATCACAGTGATCTATAAATATGAGTCTTGCCATCGTCCACTACCGGTGGTGCCGACGCTACTTACTCCGATGCTCCTAAACATGCGACGAGACATTAGGGATCAAACGTGACGCCAAAATGTTTTATGAAGTGGACGTACCAGTAGATTTTACCGAAATTCTCCACGTCAGCGAAGTTCAGGATGAGGTATCCGTACACAACATGAATGCAGAAGGCCGTGTGCACGGTCTCCAGGATCCTGTCCAAAAATTGGGTAAGACACCGAAGTAAGCGTGATGCACATGCCCAACACACCATACGGCGGCGACCTTCATCGCAGAATGGCATCAAAATCAGGACGGTAAGGGTGTGTATGGACACTTACAAACAACTTCACGTACGGTGAGTCGTTCGGGTACTTTTGAAAGTAGATGAAGGTTTGCAAAGTTGTGACGCCATATAGACTACGACCGAGTTCATCAGCGTCGATAAAGCGCGGTCGTACGAGGAGAACTCACACGCAGGCAATGAGCACCTCAACTAAGAGGCCGCCGAAGAACTTATCGGCGAATTCAGCCGCTGCGGACAAGCTGCCCATGTTCTGGGACAACTATAGCAACAGGGTGATCGTGTAGAGGTCTAGAGCGAAAGGCAGAAGGAAGGTGGCGGTCGGGAGGAGGGAGAGGGGAAATGGGAAAGGGGAAAGGGGAGGATTGAAGTACCGACGAGCACTTTGAGACACCAACAAGCTTGCAGCTTAAACAGATGTTGTGGACGCTCGTTCGCAAGGGAACCGTTCTCCGGTCCTGGTTGGAGCTCCAGACCGGAGAACCTGGTAACACGCGGCGGAGCCGGCACCCTCGAGCGTCATGCGGGAGAAGTGAAGATCGCAAGAAACATCGGTGCGTTCACGGCATTGTGTAACGCGCAGTGACCCCGCCGCAAACGAGCGGGACGAGGTTCAACCGCAGATCTTGACTTCATGTCAGTACGCGCCCTCCCTCGAATCAGAGAGATTCGGGAGCGGTTGTTGTATGCAATGTGCCTGCCGGTAGCCACTAACACGGGAGGAGACTCTTGGCGGCGGAACCTTGAGCCGGGAGAGCGCAGTCAAACATTCTCGCGCGGAATACCTAGTCCCAGGTTGCAATTGGATGCGATCTGGGGCTACGGGAAGAGGTGAGGGATTGTCATGACATATGGTAGGAAGGACACGTGTTGTGACACTGACGATCCGGAATCTTACCTTAGCGTAAGGCCGATCTGGAGGGATCTGGAGACGGCATAATGCATGCTCCCGTAAGGGTAGAGCACTGATGTGGAAGATTGGGTAAATTGAGTTGCCAGACTTCTGGAAGACGCGCCGCAAGTACTGCTGGCGCTCCCGGGACCGTCGAGGGAGTCAACTGTGGAATTCATCGTACATGCGTGGGGTCTACGACTGGTCTACTACTGGTCTATGTCGCAGCGCGGGTCAGGGGGACCATTCCGGACGGTCAAAAGCATGAGGTCGGACGAGCTGAAGGTGCGATGCTGTGCCGGGTGCAGACTGCGCTGCTGACTCAGCGACTCCACAGCAAGTACCTGGGATCCCGGCATGTTCCAAGCATCGCAGTGGATGTATGCAGTATGCAAGCACTGCTCATCCGCCGCTTAGGACCGACAAAACACCTTCTCGAAGTCTCCTCAGTTACCCAAAGATCTCTTGAGCTATGTATGTATCCTCAAGGAGGCGCCTTCGCTCATGCCAGGAAGATAATTTTGTGTCATTTCCGTCACCTCGAGCAAGACACATCTTTTTCACCCATTGCTACACGCTGGAGGGGAGGGCCAGAACTTCTGCGGGACGTCGCTCAAATCGGAGTTGCATCTAGCGGACAACGTTATGGTTCAACGAGGCATTGTCACTGCCACTCGGCTACAGATGCCGCGAATTCCGGATTGTACTGTACTAACACTGAACAGCCCCACGCCTGAATCGCTGGTGATCAAGCTACAGCAGGCACGAGCTTCTGGACGTTGCAACATCTTGAAACAGGCGGCTTTCTATCTGCGGGAACGATAGTTCGTTACGATGTACCTGACGTCTGCACACGTCTCGTAGCCAGGGTTCCTTCCGAAAGCATCCCCCAGGTTGTGCGTTAGTCCTCCGCGAAGCGGGTGCGCAGCACAGTGTGGTCCGTCTGAGGCACATAAGATTATTTTATTATAAGTACTTACTAACACCTGGGAGTAGTACAGTACCACAATCACTGCACAAAAAAACGCCACTGACGTACCCATTTGGTTTGGAACGCGCCGCTGACACAGTATGTACATCGAGCGATCACGCAACCAAGGTACTACGCCACCATCTCGCGAGCACTAGTAGCGACGTTGCAGAAGAATGTCCCCGCACTGACTATAGCCCGCCCGTGGGGCGGGCTGCCCGATAACGGCGCAACTCGAGTTTACCCTTTTGACCAGTGAGCTCGCGTCACGTCTCAAAGTATCTGTGAGTCCCAAGGAGATTATTATGGCGTTCTACCGGTATCGGCGAGGGTGAGAGGCCCTTGCCTGGTCATCCTCCGACATTCCTTTGTAGCGCCATGCTGTAGGTCGTCCACAGTGAAGTACATACAAGGTGAGAGTGATGATTGATCGCTGGTAGCTCAGGCGGAGAATCATGGAGCACACCATGCACTTCGCGGCGCGTAAATCGCGGACTATAGAATCGCAAGTTCCTGCTTGGGCCGCGAAGCTCCCATGGTTCGGCCAGGACGATAAATTCACGGCAGTCTGTTTCAAGGGCCCGGAGGAAACTTCGAAGGGAGCTCGTGAGCGGATGGAGCATAACGGAATTGACCGGTCTAGTCCAGTCTGGTCCACGGTTGGACGGAACGGCCGTAATCCGTCTTGATGAGGATCCTAAGGTATCAAGCCGCGTGTACTTCCTAGTGCTGGGCTTGAAACCAGATGGCATATCTCTCGGAAGTAGCTTGCAGATGCGCGGAGTCTTCTGGAGGGCGTCCGCATGCCGTATGATTACCATAACTTACTGCAGCTATTACTGTAAGTCTGGCTGAGCGATGCGCACGGTCGGAAATGACCACCGCATACGGAAGGTCACTAGACCGCAATTTGGACGCACCTATAGACGCCATATAGCCATCGTTCTCGAATGGCGTTGTGAAAATTGATCATGCGCCGCACCACCCTGATATCCAGAGTATGGAAAGCAAACTCACCCAGGCAAAACTGATGTCAGTCATTCGGAGCCCCTTGTTGGGAAACTCAAGTTCTTGTCGCGAAACTTGGGTCGACCCAGAGTCTGCACCCCCAAAGAGGGATGTATTCGAAGCAATGGGTCTGGTAAGCACTCGAGGATGCGACCGAGGGTCTCGCGAGGAGAGATGCGGGCGGAGGACGAGGAGCACAGAAGGACGACCAATCGAGTGCGACAAGCACGTATGATGCTACTATGTAGTGTCGTTGTCGACTGGGATGGAAAGGGTGATACTACATAAGTAGCATCTAATAAAGTGAGTATATCATATCTCGTTGGGCTCCGCTCTTGTCAGTGAGAGTTTGTAGAAAATACTGCTGCGAAGACTTCGGATCGACAAATTTGATGTGAATTCCGCCTTCAGCCAGAAAATCTACTTGGTACCAATGACACACGCAGCCGCTTTGTGGTAACTCTGCAGTTCAGGGTTTGACATCGAGCGAAATCCAATCTCAATACAGGCACCGTGATGCGTTGCAGCGCAGTGGAGACTCATCAGACAATCCTACACAGATCTAGCCCAGACCGGTATTTGCACGAGGCGGCCTACGACTCGCGGCTAACTTTCCACCTACCGTGCCCTTCTACCACCATTTGCTAGACGCAGGTACCTTCTCATCTTACCGCTGCGCGGCCGTCTTTACCACGTTCGCCCACACCATGTCCTGCATCAGCTGTCCCACTCTCCCCACTCTGGCCTCCGCCACCTCCCCCCCCTTCCTGGTTCTTCCGCTCGTAACCCCCTTCGACACATGATTCTTTCAGCTCGCCGTCGACTTCGACTCAAACATGTTCGTCAAGCGACCGTCGAACGCGAAGATGTGTGCGGAAATGAGAGCCTGGGAGAAGCTCCAGCGCACCGGTAAGTTCCTCGAGGACAGGCTATACGCGGACATGCTCCAGAAGTACCGCCTCGTTGCAGGTGCAGCTGACCTCGCGACCGTCGAACGAACCACAGGTGCTAGACCCACAGTGAGCGGGACCGGCTACTCCGACCACTTCGTTCCCAGCATCGACAGTCCTGGAGACACGAGGGTTACCGGCGCACCACCCCTCTCAGCAACGTTCGCTTCGATCGATCGATCGCGACCTCGCCCGCCTCTGGCCCGACACGTACTGGACTGTGTCCGACTCTGATATCGACTACGAGATCGACGGTTTCGTTCTCATAGATGAGGCCGACACCAAGGGCCTTGTTTTCTGGGAAGACGCCCGTTGGCGTCGTCGCAAGGTCAGTCCAATCTCGAAGAGGCCTCTTGCGTGCGAACTCACTCCTTCATCCACATGGCTACGCAGAAGCAGGACTGCCCGAGTGTCACCTGGTCTCGATTTTGCGGCTTTCTTCGTCCTGAGGGCAGAACAAGAACCTAGGCATGGCAAAGGTGTAAGGGGACCTTGGTAACGCTTATGGTGAGATGGCGACCTACCATGCGTCGTCTATCCCCGGTAGGGTTGCGAAGGATTTAGGGGCTTGAGCACCGGCGAGCGTTTGATATGCACTTCTAAGTGATTCTGGTCCTGGTGGACATAAGACAGCGTGAACATTTTTACCTGTACCCAGTCGGATTTTGTAGTCTTGCGAAACCTTGTTGTCGATAGCTTTTCCCGTCCTTGCGTGTCGTTAGCAAAACGAATAGGAGGAAGGGCACCCTTCGTATTGTTCGCTGCGCTGATGAGCGTACGGTCAAGTTGACAGCAATACAAGCATCGTACTTACATGAGGCCCGCGTGCTGTTGCGCGCCTTTGAGGATGTAGCGACGAGCAAGCCATCACACCCACCGACTATGTCCGAGCGATCCAGCACAGCTATTCGCGTTTCTGGGATCACCGAGGTCATCTCTCGATTATCCCTATTCAGCGTTGAGCTGAAGATTGAACATATCGAACCGGCGTTGCTCGACGCTACAATCAGGTATTGATGGGGATAGCGAACACCGCCTGTCGCCTGATGGGACCCTAGATAGAGGATCATTCGAGGACGCCTACAAAAAGTGGAGAGCATGCTGTCGCTATGTGCTACAGCACCTCCACTTCTCCACAGTGATCCCTCTTAGCAAAGTATAATAAAGACACAAAACCACTCCTCACATCAGCACACGGCAGTACAATGAGGTCGGTGAAGGATATTCGACAACAGTTGACAACTGTCCACTCACATGGTGACGTCGCTAGCGGTTCTTCTATCCCCAAAGCCATCGGCCAAGGCTACCTTAAAGTGATCTCAGGCAAGTCACAAGAGCAACCCATTCGCAGGAGTCAGGCTGATAGGCATCTGGGCGCCAGCCTTCATCGCTGGAGCGAGCAAAATCAACAGGGGGCTGGGGACTGCTGCTGCCATCATATGCTGCCCATGCACTTGCGGAACATCCTTGATCATAGCCGCTGACGAGTAGGGGAGCGGGGTTCCCTTTTAATGGGCTGAACGAGAGCGACCCGTGATGGCGCACTCACTTTACGACCTTCTACACTCATTCCCCATGCTATAATGCTGTAGAGCATCCGTACCAGCGACCCGCGGATGAGCAATAAATATTGTACTTGGGTTGGCTTATCCATTCATTGGAGTATGTCACGACGGCCGAGTGTGGGGACCGATGTGGCGATAGATGATGTGCGCCATGAGACAGACGGGCAGGCGACTGTCCTGAAGAATGATTTGGAGCGCATCAATGGAGCAAGCAGTCGATATCCATGAGCAAGAGGCTAATCGTGGGACTTTAGTGTTCAGCACAAGTTTGGTCGACGTCTCTCTGAGAATCAGAGCATGTACAATGGACGACTCGACGAAAGCTCGAGTCGACATGCTGCTCAGCCGGAGCGCCCTGACGGCCTTTCGGGCCGCGTAGCCGTCCAACGAAGCCGCTCATGTCCGATGTTTTTGCTCCGCGACCGCCTCTTCTAAGTAGTAGTGGTCAGTGGCAGCGATTCTTCCCGTTTTTCTCTAATGCGCTAGCCTCGGCTCAAGTCTCTCTTCATACGCTTGTCTGATTTCTCGTTTATTTGAGGTTGCAGCCAGCGATTTCTATCATGCCTGTCCGCGACCATCTACCCCATAAGAAGCGCAAGGTAGAGACATCCTCTCCACAATCCTACAAATATGCGTCTGCCACGGAGATCCGGCGCGTCTTCAAGGCTCAGAGCGAGAGCGGGCTCATCGAAGGCTTGACCGCTCTTCGCAATCAGCTTACCGTCAAGCCAAATGAGGGGCCAATTCAGGTCAACGACGAACGGTTGTTGCTCGCCAAATCATGGCTAGAGGAGGATCCAGGAGCGCAGGAGCTCCTCACGGCATGGGAGGGCGCGAACACGGTGCGTCGTCTGCGAGACATATTCACTTTCAATTCTCATGATGTTCTCAGAGACAAATGTCGTTGCTATCCGTTATTGTCGGCGTCTTGTCTGCCCTTCTCAACTTGCTCTCTCCTCATTACACCTACCATGTCCATGCCCAACCCCTCCTACGCGCCCTTCTGTCCCAACAATGGATACACAACCTCAACACCTACCTATCAGGCCAACACACAGAGCTCGTCCTGGTCACCCTTAAGCTGTTCAACAGTATGTCCAATTTCGCGGGGGGTCGCGAACGCAAGCTGGTCCTAGATGCGTTCGCTTGGGAGATGAAGGTGTGCATCGCTGGCTTTCTTTTTCAAGTCAGTGTTACTTACCTGTTCATAGTCCCTGCCTAAGCTGCTCCACATGCGGCGCAAGTCAAAAGGCGCAGAAGATGTGGATATGCTCGAGCGACCAGGTGTGTCCTCCTGTGCCTCCTGTTACATGCCCATCCTCATCTCTTCTTTCAGATATCAGGACACTGTATATCCTGTTCGTCCTGTCGTTTTTGGAAACCACAACTCCAGCATCCGTGAAGGCGGCGTTCCTCGAGCAGCATCGCGACGCGTTTACGTCCGTCTTCAAAGGACTCTGGCAAGACTCGTACTCGGTCATCAGAAGAGTGCTCGAAGTCTGTTGGTCAGGCCTGTGGGCTGATGCCAAGCTCAAACGCACGTTGAAGATCCATGTTTTCAGCGAGGCGACGCTCTCCCAAGTACGTTCCCCTCCTTGGAGTCGCGCCGTCCGTCGCTGATGGAGGCAATTCCCAAGCTCATTCGTATCTACGAACGCAACGTACCGGAAGGTCAGGATCCCGAGTCCGTGCCTGCGGACGTTGTGCACCACTTCCTCTTGGCACTTTGCACACGGCCAGGCGTCGGGCTCTGCTTCCACGACCACGGCTGGTACCCCCGCGAAACCGATCCAGACCAACGCGTCACCACAGATATCGACGAACGCGCTGACGACGACATGCGCCAGAAAGGAGGTAAAATTCACAACAAGATACTCTCCAACGTTCTCAAGACCCTCAAAGTCAACGAAGACCCGCGCCAACAAGAGCTCGCCCTCAAAATCCTCGCCGCGTGCCCCGAGCTCGTCGCGGGATACTGGTCCTCGGCAGGCCTCGCGCTCGATCCGCGCCTGTCGTCCAAGTGGCTCGCGAACATCGCCTTCTTCGGCGCGGTCGTCTCGCTCCCCATCCCCACCGCCTCGTTCTTCCTACCTGAGAGCGGAAGCGGGAGCACCTCGCTCTATCAGCCAACCCCGCCTCCTCTCTCCACCATCATCGAGAACATCCTCCCCACGGCGCAGATCAAGACACACCTGTCGCGCGGCCTGCAGGCGTCCTCATCGCTCGTCCAGCATGCCTCCGCGCTCGCGCTCGCGAAGTGCCTGCTGAAGTACGAGCAAGTGTTGCGTGCGTTCCAGGAGGTCGAGCGTGCGCTTGAGGAGAACGAGGAAGAGGGCCTGTGGGCGCGCAGGCGACGCGAGGTCGAGCGGGAGGTGCGAAGGCGCGTACCTGACTTCCAGGTCATCGTTGGATTCTCTCAGCGTACGAACGAGGCGAGTGTCCCACCGCCCCCAGCAGATGGCCAGGGCAAGGAGGAGAAACAAAAGGAGATCGTCCCGAACCCCACGCGAACAGCGCTGCTTGCAGAGAGCGCACATCGGTTGTTGTGGCTCTATCACCAATCGCTGCCTGCAGTCGTCGCGGAGGCGCGCTTCGACCCCGGAAAGTTGTTACAGGCTATTGAGGACATGTTGGCTCAAGGTAGCAGCGCCAGTCCGACTGGCGGGCTCGACACGCTTCGTCAGCTGCACGTCCTCCGGCTACTCAAGGAGAGCGAGCACTTCACTTGGTCCGGGAAGTCAGGTGCGCACTGTCGATGGCTTGCATAGTATCACTCGTCCACTCATATAATCATATCCTTAGGGTCGAAACACAGCAACTTCCACATCCTCCTCAAGGCGTATATCATCACGCCCGTCCGCGTCATCCGCACCGCCATTGTAGCTCTCCTACGACATATCCTCGCCCCCGGCGTCCTCTTCCAGCACGACGCCGACGAGATCGCACTATGGCTGGACTCGCTTCCACTCACGCGGCGCGCTGCCGCGGCACAAGCACCAGATGGTGCACCTCTGACGGACGAGGGCGACAGCGTCCTTCGCTTCCTCGACGACTGCGTGCAGCGTTGCGTGAAAACCCCCTACAAATACGTTGAAGAGCTCCAGACGCTGTACGCTTCAAGTCGGTCATCTAGCGGAGAGGCATCGTCTATCGGTCAACGTCCTGACGCGTTCCCTAGCCCTTTGTTGGCGACGGTCGTCGAGCAACTTGGGGCCAAGCTGAGGGGCAAGCTGCTCTCTCCTTCGGACGCGCTGGCGCTCTTCTCGTTCGTGCGGAAACTGTTGCTCCGCATTGTTGGCAAGACTGCAGACTTGGCCTTGCCTCAGGCCTTCGCAGCGAAAATTGCTGAACTCGTCGAAGACGACATCTACTTGGAGTATCCTACAATGAAGGACGCTATCGACCGCGAGGTCGCTCTTCTTGTTTCTTCGATGGGGCAGCTGCACAATCCTATAGCGGCCCCCAGTCAAAGCACCAGCCCCGCTGTTCTAGCGTTCTTGGAACAGGTCGAGCGGCTCCCTGATCGTGAGCAGCATACAATCTAATTTTGCACAATCGACATGCTCACTCTAGCTGTCCTAGCGGAATCCGATGCTGCACGCCAAGTCGCGGCGTACGAACTCGTGGACTGGCTGCGGTTGATCGGACCAGAGCTGCACGTCTCCGAACTCAGTCGCCTCATCAGCGCTGTCGAGAAGTTCCACAAGCCGGCGCTGAAGGAATTGTTCCAGTATCTCGACCCGCAATCGGTCGCGTTTTGGGAGGGCGCGGATGTGATCTCGAATTCAGCTCGTGTTGTCCATGCGTATGTCACAATACCTTGAGGTATAGACATCTAGGTTGACAATGCCGTAGGGCCAGTTTCGAGACGCTGTTCCTGCATTGCAGAAACGAGTTGCTAGACAACGAAGCTTGCCGGACAGTCCTCGTCAGTAGTCTGTTCACAGGTCACGTCGAAGTGGTCACTGTCAAGCGTTCTGTCCGCCTGGTTTTGCACCGTCTTTCGTCTCCCACCATAGGTGCAGCCACCATGCGAGACCTCCTCCTCATTCTGGGGAGCATCATCAATGGTCTGCAAAACACTGGGAGGATCGTGGATGCCCGCATTGCAGCTCTCTTCTGCTTCGAGTCCGAAGTCGTGAAAGCGCTCACGACACGCTCATTGCAAGATGAGCCCAGGGAAGGTGAGGGCTACTCGAGCGCTAGACTGCATGTTAGCTCACTGCGCGTTAGGCCTAGGAAGGCTCTTGGAAGCTGCATTCCCGGTCGGTGGTGCGGACATCCTACAGCTATTCGCCACGATGACCGGCCGGTGGGTGCTGACTTTGAGGGAGTCGTTGGATAACATGGACGAGGAGCAGGTATGTGTGACATCGCTGGTTACTTTGGTCGAACTCATCCCCGCCATGCTGTAGCGCACAACTGCTTTGCTCTGGTTCAAGTACATGGGCGCGCAGGAAGCGCTTGCTCTACTAGACTATCTGGCAGAAAGAGCCGAACACTCTAGCTCCGTAGCCATTCAGGACATCATCAAAGCCGTCCTCGAGATTACCTCAAACACTCTGAGTATTGAACTAGATGTTGTGACCCACGCACTTCCTCTCCTATGCCGTCTGCAGTCGCTTCTTCCTAAATCCTCCCACCTCACTTCCCTCATCGCGACTGGAACACGAGGGTCGATCCCGTTCGGCCACGACGGCTACCTCCCGAATCGTTCCTTCTCCGACTGGAGCATCGCCTCGCTTATCCCTTCAGCTAGCAAGCGTTGGGCCTTGCGCGTCCGACCGGCACCTCCCCTTTCTGTTTCGTCAGTCCTCGCCGGGGCCCCTCTGTCAGACTCCGACATCGACATCGCCACCCACCTGCTCTACCGAAGCAGTTCTGTGAGGCCCGCTATATCAGAATGGTTGGCATCGCCAGCGTCGAAGAACTGCAGCTCCACCCACCTCGTTCGGCTGATCTTCGCGTTCTACGACTCCGCTCGCCAAGAAGGATTCAAAGCAGACGCCGCCCGGAGCCACTTCTCCCACCTTGTGAAAGTTGTTGCTGAAGCCCGCCACCCTCGTCAGATTTGCGAAATGGCTGCGGATTGCGTTGTCTTGATCGTAGTGTCGTCTCCCTCCGACAGATCGAAGTACTTGAAGTCACTTAGCAAGACGTTCTTGTCGTTGAACGTGGACACATTGTCTCCATATCCTCTTGCCGTCGGAATAGGACTCCTTTCTGAGATCGGCCGGGAAGCCATCCCATTGACAGAAGAGCTGCTTGACTCCGGTCTGAAGTGGGCCGTACGACGCTTCGCCGAGAAGGCGTCGTCAACTGATGACGATCAGGTCAAGCTGTCCAGGATAGGTGCGCTTCACTCCGATCCACTGTCCTTCGACTCGCTTGTACCAAAGCTACTCTTCCAGGGTCAATCATTCGAGCCAAAGTTCCTTTGAAGAGCCATCTCGTCGAGCCCGTCATCGCCGCTATTATCCAGGACCGGCTAGCCAGCGTAGACGCCGTGCAATTTGCTCGCCTTTTAGCATCATCAACTCATCTCAAGGTCGGTTCGATAGTCTCAACTGTGTCCACCGTCGCTGATGTCTTATCGTTATGAAGCCAGCCACAGTCAATAGATTCCTGCAAACTACGGTGCAGCACGGGAGGTTCTACCAGTACGGTGCCATCGCGTCATCAGGCAGTAACTCTGCGCGCGACAGCATCGTCGAATTTTCGCACACGCTCTTCCACTTGCATCCGAACAACACTTGCCAACCGAGCCATATCGAGCCGTTGCGGCGCCTATACGGAGGCTCACTCGGGGCTGCAGATCTGAAGATACTTTCGATCTTCCAGCTCTTCGAGAGCACCCGCAGAACATCTATTGCTTCGTTGCTCAGTCAATGGTCCGCTACTTCCGATGTGGATTCGGGTAACGCGCTTGAGGCGCTGCTTAGTCTTGAGCCCAGCCGTGTTCTGAGAACATGTCTCGAGTTCCCCGACTGGAGGACACTCGCCTCAGGAGTCACCGAGTGTTCATCCGCGAACGACTCGCTGTACGACCCTGTATTCATCCTGCTGCTGCTATCGCAGACAGAAGAAGCACCCAACAGTGCCTTGGCTTGGGTAGAATTCTTCCGTACCAATGTCGTCAGCCTTGTTATACGCACCCTATCCGCCAAGGATGCTCGAATCCGAGAGATTGCCTGGGGACAGGTGGCATCCCTATACAAAGCTCTCGAGGTGCGTATGCGATCAATCAGACCGCCTCACATCTCGCTCACTCATTACTTTAGGCCGCCGATCTACAAGAGAAGCCGCATGTTCTTCACATATTTAACCTGCTCAAAGACCTGCACCCATCTATACCCACTGAGAAAGTGCCGCGCATTCCGGCTTTCACTACCCTCCTCCTCGCGCACGCCTTTCGTGGCATCTTTTACCCCTCCAATTTCATATATCCGCTCACCGCGCGCTTCCTGCTGCAGCGTCCGATGCTCGACCCGACCGACGTCCCAATGCTCTATGGCATGCTGTACAGTTCCTCAGACGAATGGAAGAAAGAGCGCGCCTGGATAGTGAGGTTCCTCAGCGACGGCATCGTCAGCAGTGAGGAATGGCGGATTATGAAGAGGCGCCATACATGGGATCTGCTTGCAAGTCTGTTCCAGAGCGAAGAGCGCGACCGAATGTTACGTCGCGGCGTTCTCGAGGTACGTCCTTCCTTCACTACCTTACATGCGCTTGTAATCTGACTGTCCCCTCAGGTCCTGGTTAACGTCACTTGCAATGCCCGCGCGACGACGTCGCTGATCCTCAGGCATGCGCTCTTGGCTTGGATCGAGATGCAACTTCAGACCATGCGTGGCGAGGAAGCAATCGCATGGGCCCGGATTCTGGAAAACATCCTCGCTGTTGTCGACGCGGGCAAGATGGAAGCGGCAACTAATGGCGAGTGGCGCGCGGTGTTAGGCCGTTGCCTGCGAACTGTCTTTCGTCATCCTGGTGAGTTCAGCCATCACTTCCGCCATGCAGGACCAAGGCTAATCTCCGTTAAAGCGTGCACGCAAGGTGTCTTCATCGTTGCGTTTCCCGTCTTACTTCGACTTTCCCTCCTGCCTGGCTCCTCCCTCTCTCACATTCCCACACTGTTGCGACAAAGCCTTTCCTTCCTTGAAGTAATGGAAGCCGATGTTGCGGTCCCGACCTCGGGGACTCTCGCTCCGCCACTCGTGCCTGAAGACGGAGTGACCTCCATGTCACTCCACCGCTCACAACAGCTCTTCGACAGCCCTCCTGCCGTGTCTATTGAGCTATGGGGCGACTGCGTTGAAGCTTTGTGGAGGGTCTCGATGGCGCTTCCGAACAGAACGGCCGAGTGGGATGGATTGTCCAGCAGGCTCCTTATATGGCGATCCATCGCAGGTGCCGAGAGGACTCGGGTTGGCGAGTGGGCGAGGATAGAGACGCTGACGAACCTTGCGGTAGAAGCGTAGCATACCTGAGTCCAGATACCATACGATGTAGCGATAGATCATGTATTGTGCTCCAGTACAATCTCCATCTCAGTCATGCTACTGTCCGGTCCTACGCGCGAGGACGTGAAGACATCACCCCCGCCGGCTAAGGAGTCGATGAGCATAGCTAATCGTGATGCCGTCAAGTTTGGTTCCTGGAAGCAAGGAATGAGGAGCAGTAGGAGATGTAATGGGGATAGTGTACACACTTTGCGTATCTCCTCAAGATCATCCTTGAACGCATCAGCTACAGACGCCATCCAAAACTTCCTGAAACGCTCCTTCAGAACCTGCTCATCCTGCCTATCCTCTGCTGCGCTCTTCGGAGGTAAGAATGGGGGGATAGAAGATGGCGGCGGAGTAGGAGACAGTGAACGCCGAGCAGGTTTTTGTGGTGCCGCTTCGGAGACGCCTTCGGGGGAGAGCTCTGGCGCGGGCTCGACGTCAGAGTCGTCCTCTGTATCAGAGTCTGAAGAGGAAGACGAAGGATCGCTTGGCTCTGGCTCGGGTTTCTTCGTGCCTTTCACTGACACTCGGATGACGGCCTGTTGGGGTGCCTCGGAATCGGAAGAAGAATCATCGGAGGAAGACGACTCGGAGGACGATACGGCACGACGCTTCCTTTTCCTCATCCGTTTCCTAGCGGCGGGAGGTTTCGCAGGTGCTGGAGCCATCAGTCAAGTGGAAAAGACGATGAGAGGCCGGCGTCGTTGCCAACGATAGAGAGAATGCATTGCACGGCGGTCAGAAGTTTGATCTCGGGCGCTTGTGTTTTCGACTTCCTTTCGCGGGTGGCGATCCCTTACGCCCGACTATCATCTCGCTTGCAGGATTCGCAAAGTCTCAGGATTACGCGGTCTCCGGTTGACAGTAGAGAATTCGGTGGCCATGGATAAAGTTGTCGGGATCCTAGGTGGGAGTGGGTCGTCTTGGCACCTATCTGTTCGAGCGTTGCACTGACATCACCGTACCTCTCCAGTTTCTGCATCTTTCACGCGACCGGAAGTTTACACGTCTATCTCATAGGCGGAGGCCAACTGGGCCGTATGCTAGCTCAGGCTGCGTCACTCCTCAATATCGATGTTGTCATCCTCGATGTCGGTGAAAACGGACCAGCCAAACAAGTCGTCGCACCCCGTTCTCCAAAGCTATCGCACGTCGATGGCTCCTTTGCGGATCCTGACAGGATCCTAGAGCTCTCCGCGAAGGCAGACGTCCTCACAGTGGAAATCGAGCACGTCGAGGTCACCGTTCTCGAGGCTCTCGAAAGCAAAGTCCCGCTTGGCGTGCATCCGAGTCCCTTCACGATCAAGATCATTCAGGACAAGTACCTGCAGAAACTGCACTTGCGCGATGCTGGCTGCCCCCTCGGCGAGTTCACTCTGGTCGACTCAACCGTGGAGTCTATCCGGGCAGCGACTGTCCAACTCGGTTTACCTCTCATGCTGAAGAGTCGGACCCTTGCGTACGACGGGCGAGGGAATTTTGTCCTCAACAATAGTTCTCAAGCGGAGGAAGCCATCTCTGCGCTGGGCGGCAGGACCCTATACGCGGAGAAGTGGGTGCCTTTCGTGAAGGAGATCGCTGTTATGGTTGTCCGCTCTCGGTCTGGAGAGGTCATCTCGTATCCTGCTGTCGAGACGGTTCACAAGCAAAATATCTGTCATCTGGTCTTTGCTCCTCTCCGCGATCGCGACTCCGCCATAACGGCTCGTGCTCGTTCTGTTGCTGAGGATGCAGTCAAGACCCTTAAAGGCGCGGGTGTCTTCGGTGTCGAGATGTTTCTCTTGGCTGACGGTTCGTGACCGTTCATTCTTGCTGCGATTGATGGCATTACTGATCGCTACGTGTAGGGAGAGTGTACCTGAACGAAATAGCGCCACGACCACACAATTCCGGCCACTACACCATCGAAGCATGCGAAACTTCGCAGTATGAGAACCACCTCCGCGCCATCCTCGACCTCCCGCTTGGCTCCCCCGCCCTGAAAGTCCCTTCCGCATGTATGCTCAATATCCTCGGCGCCTCTTCCTCCTTCTCCGAGATCACGTCCTTCGCCAACTTCGCATTAACCGTACCCGGGGCTCGTGTGCACCTTTACGGCAAGACAGAGAGCCGCAAGGGTCGCAAGATGGGCCACGTCACCATCGTTGCCGACTCAGACGCCCAGCTTAGCACCCGTCTCCGGCCCTTGCTCGCCAAACTCCCAGGCGGCCACGATCCACGCGAACTGGATTTGTACGCCCCTCTCTTCCCCGCCTATGGGTTCTCGCATAGGCAGCCTCTCGTCGGTGTCATCATGGGCTCCGACTCCGACCTCCCAGTGATGCTTCCGGCGGCGGAGATCCTCACCCGCTTCGAGATTCCGTACGAACTCACCATTGTGTCCGCACACCGCACGCCGGACAGACTTGTTGAATACTCGCGGTCGGCGGCTGCCCGGGGGCTGAGGGTGATCATCGCTGGAGCAGGCGGAGCAGCGCATTTGCCTGGGATGGTAGCAGCGATGACTGCTCTGCCCGTCATTGGTGTACCCGTCAAGGGCAGCTCGCTAGATGGCGTCGATTCTCTCCACAGCATTGTTCAAATGCCGGTACGTGCTTCGCCGAGATGTCTTTGCCGCTCTTCGCTGACCGTGCCTTCTCTAGCGCGGCATCCCCGTTGCCACTGTGGCGATCAACAATGGCACGAACGCGGGCTTGCTTGCCGTTCGCACATTATCTACTGGCCAGCCTCACCTTGTCACTGCGATGGACGAGTACCTCGTAGGACTAGAGACGGAGGTCCTCGGCAAGGTCGACAAAATCGCGGAGGTAGGCTGGGAGGCGTACCTAGAAGCGAAAAAGACTAGCGGTAGCTCGAAGTAAACCCATTGGCTAGGATGTAACGAGGGAAGCAGCATCAAGTGTATATATACTTGTAGCATTTGTAGTAGATGCGTATGCGAGGCGGATGACCCGACCTGCACGTAGCGATAAACATCTGTGAGTGCTTCAAGCCGGCCCGAGTCAGCCGAAGAGCGCTACTACCCGGCGGCTTTGCCAGGTGCCACTGCCAGCTGTTTGCTAAATACCCGCAAGTACCAGCACTTCGTCGGTCGTCCCAGCTAGTTCAATCACAAGCAGTAGCACGGCGACAGCGATAATCATCATTGCAGTATAGTCTGGCTAACAAACTCGCATTCACGGGTTTTTGGTAACAAGTCTTCGTTCAGAGTTGGTCCCAAGGATATCAATTCCGCTGCATGTGTCGGTGAGTCTTCATCTAACAAGCATCCTCCCCTCCTCCCCTCCAGTATCATACTGTACTTAAAGCAGGACGGATATGAGGCTCAAAAGGAAGCTTCTGTGATATGTAACAGGTCGGCACATGGTCCGGGAAGTCCCTGACGGAACTATGCTGCGGTAAGGCGGCTAGGTAAGGTTTCGATTGCAGTGGCTTACTAGCGTGTGCTTTCATGGACACCATCCTCCACTCTCTCCATGGCTCACCCATTTTTCTGGCCTGGCAAATATTTCTTCTACCCCATCGGAAACACCTCTGCGGTCTGCTTGACACGCGATCTTCCTCCGGAGGAACATGCGGATATCCTCATACTCGGTTGTGGCGACCCTCGACATATCCTATACACCATTTTCTCTGAGCCTGCCCAAGGTGATCTGCACGTCCGTTTCTCCTATTTGACTGGGATTGACGTAGCTCTCCGCCGAGTAGCTGCCACCCGACAGCTGGACTTCACATGTGTCGACTTTGAGCCGGGCGTTTTGGGTATGTTGCATCCACTTGATCCAGGATTCATCGACGGTTCGAAACTGATTCTGCGACTTTAGCCAGAAATGCCCTCTTATTGTCGCTGATTGCGGACGAAGTTCCTGTCACCACCATATGGAACATATTCTATCATATGTATCTTGACCCCGCTTCCCATTTAGCGTTGATATCACAATGCAAGAAGCTTGTCGATCTCTCAGAGAACATGGACGCATGGCGAGCCTCCCCTTACGGACAGTATCTACGATTCTCTACCGAATTCACCCTCGTGGAAATGCGCCGCCACTGGTCTCTTTACATCGCCATGCCTCAATTGCCTTCCCGGCGTCAGAAAGCCATTCGAGACGCGTTCACACAAGTCTTCAAAGGCCGAGGTAACTCCAAAACGACACCCATGACCTCAGCACGCTCGGCCGGCCCGCTCATCTTCAGGGCCTGGGACTCCGGCGGAACACAGGCACTCAACTACTGGAAGACTGGGACGACGTTCTTCCAAGCTAAGGACATAGCGGGCGCGAAGCTGCTGAATCCTACTTTCGCCTACTGTCTTACCGGAGAGGGATGCGGCGTACACTACGGGTCCGATCCTCTGACGACGTTTCACTACGCCGCCCTGTACGGCAATGCGAAGGTGTCCGTTTCCGCTTCTGACATGGTTAGAGTCGCCAAAGAACAGTTCTCCGACTGGTGCGCCGCATTCAACGCGGTCATCTCCATTCCCTCCACAGCACCTCGAGTACGATTTTTCCTAGCGGAAGTTACCGCTGCTTGTCGCGCCCTCCGGGCGTTCGGGACGACGGGCACGCTGAATATTGGCATCCCGGTGGCACAATTTCGTACCCAGCTTCTTCATCTGGCTAGACAAGAGTACGTCGAGGATCATGCCCCGACCTCATTCAATGTCATCGAGACGTCCAACCTCATAGACCATATCGGTCTACTCAACGTCCTCATCGCAGCCTTGCCGTTGCTCCACTCAACATTGTGGAGCGTCCTCTATACTGAGTCCTTGCTCTTCCATGGCCTCGACGCGACAAAGGAATTCGCGGATCTCTTGTACGCTGACATCGGCACAGTCGGTCTCCTACTCAATATATGTCCCGTCGACTACCTCGCAGGCTACACCACACGATCCAACACCCACGAACTCTTGTTGCATAAGCTCATTTCGAACAAGGACACCAACCAGATGAAGCAGTCGCAATTTCACCAGGTGACCACATGGAGATCCCCGACTTCCTGTGACAGCATCGTGACCCTCCACGACGCTCGCCCTCAATCGCCTCCTCAGCTTGAACCTCGTCAGCTCGGAACGCTCCTCTTCGACATCTACCACGCTCTCTTTGAGCAAGAGGACTCGACGACGTTCTGGCGAGAGAACCAGCAGAACATGCTTCGCGCTGTCGCTTCTGCGAACATGATCCACTACATGCGCGAAGGCTTCGTCCTCTTTCTCAAGCTTGTCCGTGAGAGACTCAGGGTCCCCCACGAGCAGTGGCTAGAAGTGATGGATCGCTTCATGGATCTCGAGCTCACCGATGTCACGATGCCCATGAATACCGTCAACCGCAACGATCTCCAAGCGCAACTATACCGTCAAGGAGTGTACTCCGTGACGCACTACAGATTCGGCTCGGTCACGAGGGCCGGACGATTTCGGGACTGGGACGTTGTCCCGCCTGTCGTGCGCATTGTCCTCTCTATCCCTAGGGAGAAGATTACGAACTTCGAAAGCATCCTGGAGGAGACCCACACAGGCACGCCGCTAATCAACTGCGACGTCCTGGGCATCATGACCCACAATATTTTCGCCGCCATCCATGTCGCATACGGCCGAGCCATCGCCTCGGGCTCCAAGAGAAGCCCTCGCGTCCTCTTCGAGGAGGACCCCGAAGGAAGAAACGGGACTATGCCGCTCGTCGCGTCGTGGGTTATGCCTTCGTTCTTGCTAATTGATCTAGAGCCACCAGAGCAGCTGAATGTTCGCATGTGCGTCCGGAGCACGATGGCGACGACGCAGCTGCACGCCAAGATGGGCTTACACCTCGATATCTTCAGCGCTAGTCTTATGGACGAAGAGCATGTCCACGTTCTCCCAGAACAACCGATCCCCCAACGAGACATCGAGTCTCCCCCAGGTCCGGCTATCTCACCCAATTCTACGCTCCGTGCGCAGATCGGGAGACAAGGCAGAGCGTTCGTGGAGTTGGACGAGCAATGTGAGCTCGTGAGCGCGTTGATGGCTAGGATAGACCTAGAGGACTCCGATGTCATACGCGAGTTCAGCGCCGGTGCCATGCCTGTAGTGGAGCAAGTGTCTCCGTGCCTGATGCGACTTACCATTGCGGGACGTTCTCAAGATGTTGTCTTCCCCTTCCCCGTCATAGGCAGCCAGAACCGACTTCGACTAGCGCGGAAGTCGCGGTACATTGAGGTGCGTGGCCGGGATGATACGGACTCAAATATGCGCTGACCTATCCAACAATCGATAGGTGGTCGTCCCACCCTCAGGACCGTTCCTGAAGCCAGACGGGATGAAGCTGAACCCATACCCTGTCATCGGAAGCGGCAAAGCGCTCTCCCCCTGGAGCGTCCACTGCCTCGCTCTCGATACTCTTCCCGTGCTGGATCTCGCAGGTTCCCAGCTCGATGGGTGGCTCAACCCACACGTCGGGTCCATGCTCTCCACTCGCGAGCGCTCCATGCGCAAGAAGCAGAAGTCCGATGCGCTGCTCTTCGTCAAGGACAGCCTCCACTCCATCTTTGTCCGCGCTGCTGGTATCCAAGGCGGCCGGTCGCAGCGGGTTTTTGCTCTCCGCGATGAGGTGACAAACAATTGCGACACCGTCCTCTTCATCAGCGATATCCGGTATGACCTTCACTGCCACACCATGGTGTGCGACGGATATGTCCTCCCCCTCACGCCCGACCTGTTATCGGAGATCGTCAGCTTTTTCGGGGAGCTCGTCTATGGGCCAGATATGGTCAACGTAAGGGTCTTTGCAGGAGAGATGGAGGCGTGGAAGCAGCTCATCCCCGCGTTCGTCGAGCGCTGTCGCACGTGGGAGCATGTCGACACGTGCGAGTACCTCAAGAAACAGGAGGTTCCGCTCACGCTGGAGATGGAGAAAGATCCTCTGTGCAGCTGTGGGCGGGGTCAGGACGTTGGCGGGCTCGAAAAGGTCAAAGAGTGGCGGCGGTTGGCGCCGTACGTCACCCGGCTTGCGCTATCGCCGCTCTTTGCGGTGTCGTATCTGGAGTCCGTTGGACGGGACCCGACGTTACACAAGTGCTCGGTGTGCAGAGGGAAAGGGAAGCCGAAGTTGATGACTTGCAAAGGCTGCCAGAGGGTCAGGTACTGCTCGACGGCGTGTCAGAAGAAAGACTGGCCGAGGCATAAGGCGCAGTGTAAGGCGAAATAGAACAAGTACTTCTATATTGTAGGGTAGCGCCATCGGGCAGGCTCCGTCGCAAGGAGATGTTCAGAAAAAATAACACATGATACGCCCATTGGACTGGACATGCGACCGCTCTTTTGCAATTGGAGATACAACTTGAACCACCCTCGCTGATAGTTCCCTTCAACTCGAAGCAGCGCGTGGGACGGAGCCTAGAGCAAGGGGTTACCGTGGCGAACACGAAGGAGAGTCAGAGAGGTCCAGCAAACCTGCCTCGAACATTGCCACTTCAACACTTGCACTTGCACTTCCTCCTTCCACCTTCACCGCTATTCCCGTTGATTGGCTTCCTGTCTGATTGATGGCTATCGACTTGCAAGCTCGGACGCCTCTCCCAGACAACCCCTACCAGCCACTCAGACAATCTGGCACGCTCTTATCAGCTTGTATGAGAAGACTTGAACCTAGGATAGCCAGGCGAACAGCCTATTTCTAAGGGGACACTATGCAGTAACCCAGTCAATTGGTCCTATTTGTGAGTCGGACGCTCCAGCTCATGATCGTGGAGGCTGTGTGACTGCGGCTGCGCGGGCCGCAGCCGCAGTCCTTACGAGTTCAGTTTTTATCGTTCGCCATCGAGAGCTCCCTCTAACAAAGGGGATGGCATCCTCCGAAGTACTTCTTGAGGAACAGCCTCTGCTGGGCGAGCATGAAAAGCAGTATGTGGCTCAGGTTCACTTGGGCAGCATCAATATCAGGCCCCTGCAATACTGTAAGTGGCAGTGTTCTCCCCTCCAGCTATATAGGAACATTCTGACATGCGTCTGGACTAGCTGAGGTGCCTAGAGCTGTCAAGACCGGTATTGATGCAATGCGCAATGATTCTCTAACCCGGTATATCAGGGTGAGTCTCGAGTAACACAGATGAACATTTGAGTGGACAGACGCTTACTGGCACGTGTAGGCGAGCGACTTCTCACCCACTGTCTATAATCTCCGGGAATATATCGGGGGGACAATTGTACACATCCAAGCGATCCGCCAGCGTCGAGACCTCACAATTGACCACGGCGATGCGATATGCTCCTTGTACGTCGAGCGCAGCAGGAATGGCTCATCTCTAGGTATTCGCCCTCCTGATCTCAATCACAGTCGCCTGCCCGGGGACAAGGATAGCAAGCTACCTTCACTGATACCCAGCCTGCTGCGCAAGACGCAGCCCAAGGAATCCATCAAGGTGGACATTTCTTTACATGACTCGATTAACCATGATCAGTTGACCATGTCTTCAGCGATCAAAGGAGGTCCGCAGTGCCATCGACACCTTGGTGAAGGACAACCTTGGCGATCGATACGCAGACATGATTGAGATCACACACCTTGGTACTTCGCCGGAGAAGCAAGGCCTTGGTTACGGCACAGCATTGGTGAAAGTGGTCACCGACATTGTGAGTAGTGTAAACGGACCGCAGGAGAACAATGGTATTGATCATTTCTATCGTCGTGATGCAGGCAGATGGACAAGGCCTCGCGGTGACCTTGATCACAACGGATGCTTACAGGTTTTACGAGTTCGTCGGGTTTGAGCTTGTCGCAGAGAAGCTCGTCGGAGTAGACAATCCAACTTGGGATGGTGCACCGGTTCCCATCCGCCTTGTGAGTGGTGCCAATCGTGTTGTCAATATCATAGTGGCAGCGCTGAGGACATTTACACGCAGATGCTGAGGGAACCTCACCGGCCTGGCAGCTGGGAGAAGCAGATGCGTCATAAATAGGAGAACTCAACCTCTGGAGCACCTTCGTTGTCGAGTTTGGACTACGTGGATCTCGGGCAGGACACTATAGTACTGCAACTTTCTCAATGGGGTTTGTTGCGGGCTGCGGTCGGGCTTCGCCCTCCAGGCCTCAGCCCGCTCTTCCTGACTAGCTGAGGAGTGCCTGCGATCCTGTGAGACTCGCCTAGCTGCACTTGTGCACCTGGAAAACGAACCGCAACCCCACACGGAGTGGCATATATCGGCCTACAGCCTACCTGGCCACTTCCCGTGGCCAGGGATCACTTCGACTTAGGTTCACGAGATCTAGGTTGGAGACACCTCATCTAGAACGAATTGGCACTAGCTATTTTGTCAAGGTGAGATCTAGCCTTGAGTCGGGACGAGACAGTCCGTCGGATTCGTGCTAATATGCCGACCGAGTCTAGCCAGATGCCTGACTAGCTACACACACAGGGTTCAAATGCCAATGGGAAGCATGCACCGGTTACCTTGCTGCCCCGGCTCAACGTGTACCCTGTTGCGAAGTCATGATAAGTTAACGGACGTAGCGCATGTCGTGGCCACTGGAGCGAATTCAATCGCAGGCTGTGGAGGTGAAGTGTAACTGCTGGAGCAACAACGCGAATACACGGTACGGGAGTCATGTTATGTGCAACGAGAGCAGGAGACAAGGCGCGGGACTGGTACATGTAGACTCAAAGTAGTATCGACGATATAAAGCGTTCGGTATAGATACAATCGTGCGATTGCGTGTCGAATCGTATTTAAGTATGCATAAAATCACGTCGCATCCGCGATGTTCAAGTCCATGTCGTAGAATTCGTATCTATGTCCGAGAGGAGCGAGATCGGTCCAGGATGTTTTTGGCTGGTTTCATCAAGTCTTCGGGAAACAGTAGTGAATAGTCTCTATGCTCTTTCACGCAGGGGCCGTAGTAGCCGCAGCGGGAGCAGACGTGGTCGTAGCAGCAGCCGGAGCGGTGCCTGCAGGCACGGCGACCGTTGAGCCGCCGCAAACCACCTGTGTTGAATCGGGTGCGGGGCCCCAAACGTTGGGATATACACAACCCGCGATCTCGGTCATCTTCGAGCTGGTATCTTGCGGGTCCGCCCAGCCGTCGCCCGCCGTAACGGAGGCCCCGGTGAACGTAGGGGGCGGGAGGGTGATGGGCGCGTTCGTGGGCGTGTACATGGGTAATTGAGCAGGGTCCGCGCCGTTGACGTTGGATATCGCAGGCGGGGGGTATTGGGAGAATGACGCGAGAGCGGTGGCGGCGATCGTGCCTGCACCCGACCCTCCGGTTTGCCAGGGTTGGTACTGGCCGTCCCAAGGGACGTTTTGAGGGAACCCATCGGCAACGCATAGTCCGAGGGCCGAGCGAGGGTCGTCCGGGATCCAGCCTGAGAGGCAGGTTTAGAATACCGGTGGAGATCGGCTCAACAGGTCACTCACCATTTTGCAGGCCAAGTGAGTAAGACCAGAAAGGCGCTTCGACTTTGCCAGTAACGGAGGAGTTGCCGACCTTCCACGTCCAGTAGAAGTAGCCTGGTAGGGCCATAGAATTCATCTGAGACATGACAAAGTTCTTAATGCCGGTCTTCATGTCGTCAGTCCAGGTTTGCCAGTCATCCCACGTGGGGCAGTCGGTGAGCGTAGAGTTCTGACCGACGTTGAGGACCCATTTGCCACAGTTATTGATCGCACCGCTGAACTCCCCGGAAATCGTGATGCCGAAGTCGGACTGGGACTGGTTGTTCGTGTAAGCGACGCAGCCGACCTGGGGCCAGTAATCGAGGGGGTGATTGAAATCGCCACCGAACGCGACGTACGGATGCGTATCGAGCATGATACGCTACCAAAACGAGATATCAATATCATAAACGTAGTGTCGCGAATGGAAGCACCCACGTCCGACCCAGGGAGGAAGTCCTTCCACGAGGCATCCGACTGGAAACCGTCATGTATGGCAATGTACGGACCCTTGCCGATGCCGGTGATATTGCGGATGATATCATGTGCCTGCAGGTAGCTGCAAGGCGCGTGAGATCGGCCCTTCCCTGACCTGTCTTGAATCGCAGGGAACAGACTTACAACCGCGTCAACTGGTCGCGACCGATGATTCCCAGAAGCGGTTCATTGATCGGCCCAAAGATCTGTACGACATCAGAGTATCCTTCCTGGCTGAAGAACTCCGTGAGGAAGCGGACGTAGTCCATGGTCCGCTGAGCGTTCGCGATGCCCATGTACCCGTTCAGGAAGTTGATGGGACCGAGGCGGCCAGAATGGTTGTAGCCGTTCTGCGAGCCAGGTACGGTGTGCAGCTCCAAGTACATACGCAGGCCGTACTTGCGCGCCCACTGGATCGCGAGGAGAACGTAATCCCATGCCTTGTTGGCGAGGAACGGTTCGCCCGGCCAGGTCTCGATGGCCCAGTAAGGCACGGGGAGACGGACCCAGTTGAGACCGGCGCCTGCGATCGCGGCAAAATCTTGCTCAGTCTGTGTGACCAGGCCAACGTGAGCCTGCGTAGATAAGCGTCGGACACGGAAAGGCACTCACAATGAACGTCTTATAGTGGTCCTCGATCTGACCGATCCCACCGCCCTCGGTCGTGTCGTTGAGCATCGCAACGCTCAAACTCCATTCGTCGACGGCCTGCCCGGTAGGAAGCGCGGGGGTCGGCGTCACATTCTGGTACTTCTCGAACAGGGAGGGCACGATAAAGGGCTCGAGAACGAGCCAGCCGCCGAGGTTCACACCCCGGATTTGGTCGGTGGAGTAGTCCCACGGCTCGGCGAGCGACTTGGTGAACGACTGCGCGCGCGCGCTGTTGTTGAACGGGTCCTTCGGATCGTCGACCCCTGGATGATAAAAGTAGAAGAGGTGCGTAAAGTATGATGTCAGCGTGTCGGGCGCGTGAGAGCGAGGTGGGAAGATCCTGGGACGCACAGAAGCCGCCGAACTTGTTCGTGTACGTGAACGACGTGCCGTCGGACATGACCACCGTCGAGCCGTCCCCACCCGTCACGGCGCCGGTAGGCGACTCGGGATTCGAACCTGAGCTGCCACCCGACTTGTTCCCGGAGTGCCCGGAGTGACTTTTCGTCAAGACCACCGGAAGAACCACGGCGAGGACGATGATAACGATCGCGGCGATACCGACACCTAGCCAGATGTAGAGACGTCTCCGCCGCGAGGTGGGACGCGCCCCCTGGACATCGCGTGACTCCTTGTAAGCAAGCGCGGCTTCCCCAGCTGGTCCCTCGGAGTCCTCGAGCTTCGTGTGATCGAAGAGCATGGGACGCGACGATGACGGAGACGGGGACGCGACCACATACGAGTTGCGCACACCTGTATCGGTGAGCGTCGCCGCAAAGGAGTTCCGGTTCACCATCGGGGTCGGGGGATCCAAGTTCCCTGGCTGGTTCAACGGGGTGTCGGGACCTGGCGTTTCAGGAGCATCATGGACAGTGGTCGCCGGAGGAGGGACGTCGATAACCTGGGAGGGGTCGGCGAAAGGGGAGGGGGCGGCGACGTCTTCTCGAGAGCCGGAGGACATGGTCGTCGGAGGGGGCGTCTGCCTAGCCGGGACGAGGGATGTGAAGGCGGCGGGACACGACAGCTCAAAGCTGGTTGCACATGTTCATATCGAAAAACAAGCGGGCAAGAGGGGCCGCTCCTACGCCGAAGATGCGTCTAATGATAGCTATGTAAGTAGTGCCGGGGGGAGATAAGAATGCGCAGGGGTGCATCATAGAATTCGACATGCAGTCTGGCCTGAGAAGCGTGGAGTGGGTCACTTGGTGCTTCGCGACGCGCTGTTACTGCGCGATGTGACGCACCTGTGTGGCCTCCTGGTGACTGCATGAGGCCAAGAGGGATTCTTGTGCGGGTGCCGGTGGAGTGCGGCAGAAAGCGTCCGAAACTCGAGTTGATGCGTCTCTGCCGAGGCCTGGTTTTGGCAATCAGGGATTGTGGCATGGTTGGGGAGAGGCTGGGCTGAAGGAGGCTTTGATTCGGGCGCGGGGTGACATGCGACCGAGGGAGAAGGATGAGTTCAGGCCAAACGCTATGAAATGAGAAGGAGAAGGCAAGAACGCAGGACAATTCGATCGCCATGTTCTTGAATTAATGAACTCGCGAGCATCAGCACAGATCCGTATCTCACGGGCTCAGCCAACCAACGCAGAGCCTTCTCATCTAGTGCTGTGAATACCTCCAAATAGATTCCCATCTGGTGAGACAAGTGCGCCGATAATGGCGGTGGAATCTGTTGAGATAAGTAGGCTCTCTGAGACCGAATGTGGCAACGGCACCCAACGGTCTCAATGGTTTCGTCGCTACGCTCCAAGGCAGCGTTCACCGGCACCCTCTGCTAGGTTGACGATAAGATAACACAGGACTGATAAGGCATGTCGGTCGCTGCCTGAGAGGTGTTGTATGTTGAGATGACCTCGTCAATGGTATCGCTCCTCACGCTGGCCCTCGATAAAGTGAGCGAGTAGACCTAGTCACCGCCCAAGCTGCACGCGCCGCACACGTTGACTGGCAGCAGTCGCAAGCGTGGGCGGGGTGTGCAGCGAGCGATATCTTTACGATCGGCGCGCGGCTAGTCGGACTCGTCTATAAGATCGACCGCCGCGGTGTCCCTCCTGTCCTACATCTTCCTGGCCTCCGCCTGATCCTTTCTTGCTCGCTGTATCGATAACGCTCTTCAGTGCTTCATCTCACCATCTCGCTCAAGTCTCCACCCCAACTTCCGCTGCGCCTCCACACTTTGAACACCGAAGCCGGACACTGAAGCGCTATGGTCGTCCAGAACTCGCCGTCCTCCCAGGCGACGCCCGCCTCGCTACCGCCGTCGGTATTCACGCTGCCGCAGACGGCGCAGCTGGAGGCGCTGTACACGATCATCAGGGATAAGGAGACCAGCAGGGGCGACTTCCTGTTCTACTCTGACCGCATCATCAGGCTCCTCGTCGAAGAGGGGCTCAACCACCTTCCTGTGGTGCCCAAGACGGTCGTCACCCCGACGGTACGTGCTCCGTGATGTTTGGGCCAAGTGCGGAGGCGCGTACTCAACTGCTACAGGGCGCGACGTATGAGGGCGTCGGCTTCGAGGGCAAGATTTGCGGAGTGTCGATTCTGCGAGCGGGAGAGGTGGGTTGAGAAGGAATCCATGCGACAGTGACTGATCACGACGTGCGCTGCAGGCGATGGAGGCGGGGCTGAGGGAGGTGTGCAGGAGCGTCCGGATTGGGAAGATTCTCATCCAGCGCGTACGTCCCCTCTCGCTGCTGTCTCGCAAGTGCCATGTACCCCTGCTCAAGCGAAGCGGATAGGACGAGGAAACCGCGCAGCCGAAGCTGTTCTACTCAAAGGTGCGCATCGCACACATGTATCGGCGCCCGGCAGTGAACGCGGACACATGAGCAGCTGCCGCAAGACATCGAGAAGCGATATGTTCTGCTACTCGATCCCATGCTCGGTGAGTGATGCTGGTGCCGCCGCTCGCGTGTGCGAATTCTGACAGCGGACAATCTCGTCAGCGACGGGGGGGTCGGCGATCAAGGCGGTCGAGGTGCTGAAGGAGCACAACGTCCCCGAGGACCGAATCATATTCGTGAATTTGGTACGTGAGGCGTTGGACGGAGGGCTGCGATGGAAGCGCCGCTTGTTGCTCGCTCGCCTGCGGCCAAGACATGTTTGGCTGACGGCCTGCAGATCGCGTCGCCCGAGGGTCTCAAGAACTTTTGTGCAAAATTCCCGCAGACGAGAGTGGTAAGTCGTGCTTGCCACACCGTGTCGTCGTCTGTGAGATGCTGAGCACGGGGGGATGGCGCGCAGATCACCGGCTGGATTGACCAGGGCTTGAACGAGAAGGCGTACATTATCCCTGGCTTGGGCGACTTTGGCGAAAGGAGGTAGGCTGAACACATACTGATATCTCCCGCTCGCGCTTACGAGAGGATGGGCGACAGGTATTGCTCATGAACGCCGAGTGCGCTCCGGGTAGCACGCAGCGCGAACAGCGGTGAATTCGGCCGAGGAAGCGACAGATTTGACAGAACGTTTGGGAGCCCTTGGTTATCATGCTATGGAAGCCGTGTACGATAGCGTGCGTTTCGCGGCATCGACTGCCTATAAGTAAACAGGGAGGCCGACTTGGGTCGAACGAAGAGGAACGTGCTGCTCGTACGCATGTGTAGCTTAGCTATAGGCCGAATAGTAGGAGAAACAAGTGTGGTAGTGCTCATGTGGTCAGGCGGGGCAGCTCGTCGTTCGGAGTCGAGGTCCGATGGGCACAACGAGTAGACATCGTTGCCGAGGCCTGCTGGACGCTGGATGGGTGCATGCATGCGATGGCGAGTTTGAGGGCTCCTCGCAAGAAAGCAGCACATAAGATGTGAACATTAGCCGTATCATTCAGTCGAGCGTGAGCGTGAGTGCATCCTGTACGTACGTACGACTCAGCGTCCCCATCCGTCGCTCCTTGCCAATCCGCCCCCATCGTCTCCTTTCCCTCGCCCGCCCTCCCCCGCTCCCGGCCCCCGTCTCTCCTTACTGTCCTTCCTGTTCATATCTCTCTCGACGTCTGCAATGTCCCCCGCGTCCCCCGTGCCCCGCCGCCGCCGCCATTCTGGCAACATCACTCGCCCCGTCGTCTCGCCCGTCGAGCAGCGCGCAACCCTCGACGCAGACGTCCCCGCCCGCCCCAAGTCTACGCCCCCCAACGACCGCCGCGAGCGGGCCAAGCGCGACGCTGACCACGTCGAAGAGTCCTCCTCGGACTCGAGCGGGGAGGAGTCCGAAAAGGAAGCCGATGGCGACTCGACCGGTGCAGATGTCATGCAGATCGACCGTTTTTCTGCATCTCACTCTCCTACCGCTGCCACCACCGCTTCCCTACACAACTCCGCCGTCCTCGCAGACTCAAAAGTAAACGAGAGGCCGACCCGCCCGCTCCCGTCTTCTTCGAAGGCTAGAAAAATGCAGCAGCAGCAGACGAGCAACAACCCGCTTATGCAGCAGGCCAACCCGCTCATGCTCCCCGTCCAGGCGCACGTCGCCAAGAGCGGCCCGGCCTCGACCCAGCGCAAGCTGTACGTTATCTTGGAGCAGGCGTGTCTGGAGGCGTACCGGGTCAGCACAGCGGGCAGGGCCAAGAACGGACGCGAGGGAGACGTCAAGTACGCCCTCCTCAACTGCGACGATCACCAGGGCATCTTGGCCAAGACGGGGAGGGACATCGCGGACGCGAGGCCGGACATCACTCATCAGGTGCGTTTTACTGGCTGTTTTTGCGTGCGGGGACAGGTTTTTCTGACCGTGTGTTGCGCGCGTGGGTAGTGCTTGTTGACGCTGCTCGATTCGCCGCTCAACAAGGCGGGCCTGCTGCAAGTCTACATCCACACCGCAAGGGGCGTTCTCATCGAGGTCAACCCTCATGTGAGGATTCCGCGGACGTTCAAGCGGTTCAGCGGCTTGATGGGTGCGTCGCATGGCTTGCACACTTTTTTCCCATTGGGTGCTGACTGGCAGCTATCAGTGCAATTGCTGCACAAGCTCTCGATCCGTGGTGTCAACGGGCCGGAAAAACTTCTCAAGGTCATCAAGGTACGTCCATCTGCCGCACGCCCTGCTTGTACGATCGCGATAATATCACATCTTATACGTATTAGAACCCGGTGACCGACCACCTTCCTGCAAACACGATAAAGCTCAGTACGTACCTGCGTCTGGCACGTTCGTCGCCATACTTACGTGAACATGATCTACAGCTTTGTCTGGAGATGCACCAGTGGTGAAGTTGTCGAAGTATCTCCCCACGCTGCCGGAAACACACCACATCGCCGTGTTCGTGGGTGCCATGGCTCGCGGGAAGGACGACTTTGCGGACGGCATCGTCGACGAGAAGATAGGAATCAGTCAGTTCCCGTTGAGCGCATCGGTCGCGTGTGGCAAGGTAAGTAACCTCCGGTTAGAGACGCGATATGGGTTATTGATGTGCTGTGCAGTTCTGTTGCGCACTTGAGGACCTCTGGGACATCGTTTGAAGCACTGGTGCTGGCTCCTGTCGGTCTCGCCGTCGTCCCTGCTGTCCCCCGCCTCCTTTGCTGAATCTTGACGTTTGGGTAATATCGGATTGAAGCTGCTCGTATGTACATCTCACAATCTCTGCCGCTCATTCACCGCTCGCAACCACTGCATTTCAACCTGCACGCATCAGTTACATGCCACGAACCCTCCCCCATCCCCCACTAGCACACCATTTCAACAGGCAAAACCCCCTCCCCCTTCGGCCCTCACGCTGAACCCTCACAACGACTAGCTGGCGACCCCCTATGGGCGTGCCGATTCTCACAGTACTTTACGCGCGCCCGCTACGCCGGCTATTGTACGCACTGATAGTGTACTCAACCATCCCCCGAGTAGATGAGCCCGGTGCATGTCGCGACTCAACTTGCGATCCCGGGCTCTGTACATCTGTAATCCACATGTGTTTGTAGCAGTACCATCTCATGCGCTACATCTATCGCGCGCTGTAACATTAATGCAGCACCAGAGTGGCAGGGCAGGTGATGGTCGTGGCGCAGGAGGAGCAGGCCAGGGCGCCTGAAGGGCTAAATGTAGACGATCATTTCCATATACGGTTCCTCTCCGACCTCATCATCCTTGTCCTCATCCTCTGTATCTCCACCCATCTGCCCCCGACTCTCACCAAACACCCACGTCCATCTTTCCATCGATACCCTACACGCCTCCGTCTAGAACGACAACTCCATAGAGCACTCCCGACGGCCCAGGACAGCTAATCACATACACCATGAGCACCAACCAGGCGAGCGCAAGCCCCCTGCCCGAGGGCGTCACGGACCCCAACTACAAGCCTCCTCCCGGCCGCCTGGGCAACCTCACCGTTCCTCAGCAGCATGCACTCGAGAAGCTCAAGAAGGAGCTTCAGGACGGAGGCATTTTCGTTCCAGAGCGCCATGACGATGCGACTCTCCTCAGGTCAGTGTCAGTGTGCCTCATCGTCTGTGGGGCGCGCAGTAGCCACCTTCGGGAACTGCAGCGCGTCCCCGGACGGTGTGTCCTAGCACCTATGAGTAGTGTGCTGACGCCGGTATCCGTGGCCGTGCGCTAGGTTCCTGCGTGCGCGCAAGTTCGACGTGGAGAAGGCCAAGGTCATGATCATCTCGTGCGAGCAATGGAGGAAGGAGTTCGGCGTCGACGACATTTTGACGTGAGTCTATTACCTGCGCCTGTCCCTCCGTGGCGCCGGGCTGGGCGACGCTAACTGCGGAGCTTTCCCTCAGCACCTTTGACTTCCCGGAGAAGGAGGAGGTGGACAAGTACTACCCCCAGTACTACCACAAAACCGACAAGGTCCGTCCGTTCCTCATCGCTCCCCCATCGCGTCCCCGCTCACGCTCTATTCCCATCCATCTCCATCGTCTGCGCCATGCTGTGTCGCTGGATATCCCCTGCGCGCCCGCCCCGCCCCCGGCGCCGCTACCTCACCGCCGCCGTCGTTATGCTCGCAGGAAGGGCGCCCGATCTACGTCGAGCGTCTGGGGCTGCTCGACATCAAGGCTCTCTATGCGATCACGACGCAGGACCGGCAGCTGAAGCGGCTCGTGTACGAGTACGAGAAGTTCCTCCGCGAGCGCCTGCCCGCGTGCTCGAAGGCGATCGGGCACCCCGTCGAGACGTCGTGCACGATCCTCGACCTCCAGAACGTCTCGCTGAGCAACTTCTACCGCGTCAAGGACTACGTCATGCAGGCCGCGTCCATCGGCCAGGACCGCTACCCGGAGACGATGGGCAAGTTCTTCATCATCAACGCGCCCTGGGCGTTCTCCACCGTCTGGACGTTCATCAAGCCCTGGCTCGACGAGGCCACCGTCGCCAAGATCGACATCTTGGGCAGCGGCTACAAGGACAAGCTCCTCGCCCAGATCCCCATAGAGAACCTCCCCAAGGAGTTCGGCGGCACGTGCCAGTGCCCGGGCGGATGCTCGTTGAGCGATGCTGGGCCTTGGAACCCTCCGAAGTAGAATGGACAAGACGTGCGGTGTTCTCAGGGTTGATGACGGCTCGGCGGGAACGGCAGACACGGACCCGGTAGTAATGTAGTTTTACCCAACTTTCTCGGAGGAGGCGAATCGCAGATGCTCAATTTCCTTGACTTGACCATGCGAGAATATTCTCTTCATCTATGTACACCGGCATGCAACCGACTGCAAGCTAAGCCCCGACATGAACCATTCTGACTTTTCCGTCTCACGCAGCTAGTTCAGCCAAGCAATCCCACGGATCAGGACATTATATGAAGTCATTCGTTTGCCATTCACATCCCAACATCAACATAATACAAGTGCACCCCACCATCGCCACAGCGCAAAGGAGATCGTCTCCGCCGGGCAGCAAGTCCAGGCGGAATGCAGGTCATGAGAAAGCGGGGGAAACAAAAGAACGGTAGCGTATGGTAGGGGTTATCTACTGCATCGACGGCACACGTGCACGCGCACGGGTCCTGCACACCTTCGCTTTTCCCGGCAACGCTTAGAAGCACTTGCGGTGGACGATGCCAGGGCCGGACTCGTCGTACTCCTGCTTCGAGCACCAGAGGTTCTGGAACGTGGAGAGCGACGCGAGAATCGAACCACCGATCCAGACGGAGTACTTCCGCTCGGGGGGAGCGACGATCTTGACCTGATTGAGGTAGGGCACGTCGATCAGCGATCGGTTCGCGGCTTATAGTGGGTTAAAGGAGGAAATAGACATACCTTCATACTTGAGGGCGCAAGCGCGGTGAGCTCCTTCTGCATACGGTCCGCGATACCAGGGAACATCGTGGTACCACCCGAGAGGACAATATTGCCATAGAGGTCACGACGGATATCGAGATCGCACTTGTAGATCGAGTTGTACCTGAAATCGACGCGGGTCAGCAAACGAAGGTGGCGATCTGCGTGACGTAATGCAGATACGTACGTCGTCTCGTGAATACCAGCGGCCTCGAGACCGAGGAAGGCGGGCTGGAAGAGCGCCTCAGGAGCACGGAACCTGCATTAATGGTAATATACGTGAGTAGGGATGGGTAGGCCATACTGGACATAAACATACCGCTCGTTACCGATGGTGATGACCTGACCATCGGGAAGCTCGTAGCTCTTCTCGAGGGCGGAAGAGTGAGCAGCGGTCTGGAGCTCCTGCTCGAAGTCGAGGGCGACGTAGCAAAGCTTCTCCTTAATATCACGGACGATTTCACGCTCGGCGGTGGTGTGGAAGGGGTAACCACGCTCCATCAAGTTCTTGATGAGGAACTCGGTGAGGTCACGGCCGGCGAGATCGATACGGAGGATGGCGTGCGGGAGCGAGAAACCCTCGTAGATGGGGACGGTGTGAGTGACACCATCACCGGAGTCGAGCACAATACCAGTGGTACGACCAGAGGCGTAGAGCGAAAGGACGGCCTGAATAGCAACGTAGAAGGCAGGTGCGTTAAAGGTCTCAAACATGATTTGGGTCATCTTTTCACGGTTCGCCTTGGGGTTGAGGGGCGCCTCGGTGAGGAGGACGGGGTGCTCTTCGGGGGCGACACGGAGCTCGTTGTAGAAGGTGTGATGCCAAATCTTCTCCATGTCGTCCCAGTTGGTGACTATACCGTGCTCGATGGGGTACTTGAGGGTCAAGACACCACGCTTGGACTGGGCCTCATCACCGACGTATGAGTCCTTCTGGCCCATGCCGACCATGACACCCTGGTGACGGGGACGACCGACGATTGAGCTGGGCGGGGAAAGGCGGAGATCAGGACGGTAGCTGACGCTCGGTAGATGACGTACTTACGGGAACACAGCACGGGGGGCATCGTCACCTGCGATAGAACTGAGGACGTGTGATCATGATGGCTCAAGCGAGTCATTCTTACCGGCGACTGCGTACGCAAGGATCAGTGATCATGTCAAGCAGGGAGGGAAGCAAGGAGACTTACAGCCAGCCTTGCACATGCCGGAACCATTGTCGATAACCTTGATTGGAACAGCTCAGCTCATGTGTATAGGCGATAGGACTGAGGGAGTACTCACGAGCGCTGCTACCTCGTCCTCCATGTTGTCGTGCTAGTTCGTTAAAGAGAAAGTAGTGAAGAAGAGACTGGGGACGTGCAGAGTATATATTGGCCGGCGCAGATGGGGCGGTGCGAGCGCAGCGAGCGGGTGAACCGGGATGGGTGTGAACCGATGTCGGATTTAAGGGTGAGCGTTGATGTGTGGGGGGGGAGAAGGGGCTGGAGACTGACCTCTTGGACTTGGACGATGTGGGAGATGAGAGCAAGACGAGACTCGGCGGTGGGGAGGGGCTTGGGCAAAGGGCGCTGCGCCTCTTCCCGTTATCGCGATTGCTTCAGGGCAGGCCACCGCGCACCCCAGCCGTCCCTCTCCCTCTCTGCTGCTGTCCCCGCCGCAGCCTCAGTTATTTGCGCCAACTCCGGGACTCGCAGTCTCCAAGTACATGCATTCAGACGGTGCGCAGTGTCGAGCGAGATAGCCAAGACATATCCCGATCCCCGACTACGGTCTCTTGTAGCCACGTGACTCGCCGATAGACGCCCATTGAGACGCGTACGCGTACCACACCCGCCACTAGTGCTACACAGTACTAACCACCCGACCCTCACCCGCCATGCCTCTCGAAGCAACCATCATCATCGTCGACAACTCAGAGTACATGCGCAATGGCGATTATCATCCAGACAGGTTTCGCGCACAGACAGACGCCGTCACCACCCTCTTCCAGACAAAGGTCGACTCCAACCCAGAGAACACCGTGGGCTTCATGACCATGGCCGGCAAGGGGTCCGTATCCTAGTCTCTGCGCAAAGTACTCTTCATTTGACTAACTCTCATCTCCTCCAGACCAGAGGTTTTAGTAACAAACACCAAGGAACTCGGTAATATCCTCGGCGCCATCCACCAAGCACAGGACATGCTCGGCGGGGCTACCAACATCCCAAATGCTATCGAGAAGGCTCTCCTCGCCCTCAAACACAGGTCAAACAAAAACCTCCGTCAGCGCATAGTCGTCTTCGTCGGCTCGCCCCTCGAGGGCCAGGCCGCAGACGACAAGTTCATGGTCAAGCTCGCCAAGCGGCTCAAGAAGAACAACGTCGCAGTCGACTTCATCGCCTTTGGCGACGGCATCGAGGAGGGCGAGCGGAGCATCCTCAAAACGTTCATCGACAACGTGTCAAGCGCTGACAACAGGTCGGTCGCCGCGTCCCATTTCACCAGGACGCTCTCTGCGGAGTCGCTTACGTCCCGTCGTACAGTCATTACCTCTCTGTCCCTCCTGGCGCACATCTATTGTCCGACGTGATCCTCTCGTCACCCATCCTCGCCGGCGACCGGGGGATCCCAGAAGAAGCAATGGGCGATGCAGGTGCACCGGGCGGTACGGGCGCAGGCGGCTTCGAGTTCGGCGTCGACCCCAGTCTTGACCCGGAACTCGCAATGGTAAGTCGTCGTACGATCCGTCTTGGCTTGGCGAAGACAAGGTGTTCAATCCAGTATGTGTACAGGCACTGCGCATGTCGATGGAGGAGGAGCAGGCTCGCCAAGCCGCAGCTGCGCAGGCAGCGGCACAAGCGTCTGGGACCGCTTCGTCCTCCGAACCGTCTGCTCCTGTCGCGCAAACGTCAGCAACAGCCCCAACAGCGGCGCAGCCCGCCGCGGCGACAGCGGGCGCTGCAGACGAGGAAGGGGAGGACGAAGATGCTATGCTCGCGCGGGCGTTAGCGCTGTCACAAGGGGAGGACGTCGAGATGGCAGCAGAGGATGAGAGCGAAGAGGACGCGATCAAGAGGGCGATCGAGATGAGCTTGAAGGGGGACGACAACCAGCAGCCGAAATGAGTGGTGGGGGTGCGGTGCTCGTCGTGCTGGTATATCCTGTTCCTTTTTCGCGCATGGCAGTCTTCATCTTCCTGTCGGAATATAATGTACATCATTCTCACCGGGGTGCAAGTCGCTACGCAATTGATCTCCGATGACTGCAGGCGCAGTGTCTCCGGATCGGATTTAAGTACGTAGTGGAGAGGCAGGACTCGGAGTATGCGATGGAAAGCGCGCGCGACACGTGCAAAACCATAACCCTAGATGTTCAGGCGCCCTTCAGGTGGGAGAGGCGGGACGAGGTCGGGAAGTTGACTGACGGCGACGACCACGCTTACCACCATGACCTCCTCGACCACGGCGTCTCAAACAGAGCTCAAGGCCGCCAAGGTGCCTATAGCCTGGAGGGACCAATGCTCTGCGTACGTACTTTCGCAAGGTTTAGCTCGTATCCCGGCTCATCTGCTGTCTTCCGCCTCTCCTGCTTCCCTCCGGCATTAATGCCAATAGGCTGCTTATCCCCCTGAACGTCTGCCGGAAGGACAAGCTTTACCTTCCGTGGGAATGTGAGAACGAGAGGCACGCATACGAGAAGTGAGTATCGCCGCTCTGGTCAGACCGAGGGACAGAAGTAATCGTCGACTTTGCCATTAGGTGTCAGTACGAGGAGTGAGTCGTTCATCTCGTGTTTCCTGCGTGGCATGGGTTGACTGTTATATAGCTACCTTCGCCGGATGAAGGAGCTCTCGAAACGCAAGCTCGCTGCGGCTGAAGTGGAGTGATGTACTAGACCTTCAACATACATTCTGCTTTCCCTGCTTTCTCGCCATCGCAACTTTGTGTCACTTCGGCCGAACGAGGAGAATCGTGCTACATAGCGAGTGCCATGGCTGAACAACCCGTCTGATGAGTGGAGATATACTACTGTTATGGAACGCCTAGTTCCATGTACGAACGTAAAGTACTGTCGAAGTCCTCGCCTGCCGCTCCCTCACTCTGTGACCTCCAGCTCCCACCTTATACCTTGCGGCCTGTCTCACCCTCCCAACGCGTGATCTCCTTCTTCACCCGCTCGACGACATCCGACACAGTGCTCGCCTTGCCGAACGCGTCGACGAATTGCCCGTTCGGGTCCATGAAGTAGAAGAAAATAGAGTGGTCGACGAGGTAGTCGTCAGTGGCCTTGGCGTTAGGAGGCGTCGAGAAGTACACGCGATACGCTTTGCAGGTCGCCTTGAGCGTCGGATAGTCCCCTGTGAGGCCGATGAGCCGGGGATGGAACTCGGAGACGTAGCGCGCGACTTGGGAGACGGTGTCACGCGCGGGGTCGACGGAGATGAAGATGGGCTGGACGATAGGACCATATTCCTTGTCTGTGTGGCAGGGATGTGTTTGGACGGGAGGTGGGTTGTGAGAGACAGTCCAGTCGTATGAAGATGTTGGGAAACGTACCGAGCGTGTCAACTGCTGCACTCATCTTGTCAAGCTCCTCGGGACATATGTCGGGACAATTTGTGAAACCGAAGTAGATGAGACTCCATTTGCCCACCAAGTCCTTCTCCGTGAATGTCTCTCCCTTGTGCGTGGTCAAGGTGAACGGACCGCCGACTTGCGGCCTCCCGACTGCTTGGTCCTCTCGTTCTTTGCCTGTAAGCAAAGGCGGTAGGAAGACGAGATTCAGCGACAAGAGAAAGAAGGGAGTGAATGACACGCACGCCGTTGCTCCTGCAACTTCTCCTTTTCGCTCTGGAAGTAGAAGAACAGCGCCGCTCCTGTTACTACAAACAGCGCAGCAGCCTTGGGAGTGAACACCTGTTATGCTGCGTGGTCAGACACAGATATGGAGCTCTTGTCGGAACGAAAGGCGTACGCCGACCGCGGACTTGTCCCGAATTCCTGAGGACGTTTGCTGCGTCGGATTCGGGTTTTGCGAGTAGGCTCTTCGTGAGCATATTCTACCATTCCAAGGCAGCGCTGCAGGTCGTGACGATGCATGGGGGACTACATGACGAGCCGAGGAGCTGCGTCTTGAGCAGGAGGAGAGTGCCCGGAAGGAAGTAGCAGAGAGTGAGGATACAGACATTGGACCCCTAACCTTATCTCTTGTTCTGTCCTATATTACTCGACCGAAAACGGTAGTAGACATACGCTACGCTCCGACTCGACTTCGGATCTTTGAATCCGAGCGTGGATTGTATGCTCACAAGGTTGTAAAGGAGAGTGGGAGATAGGGTCGTCGAACCATAGGACAGACCGGCGAACTCTGGACGTTATCCCGGACTGTCGCTGAATGCGCTAGCCACAACAAGTTCTACCAATACAAGTAATCCTAGTAGTTGCTTCCTTTCATTCGCCTGATAGACAGAACCGGAGTGCTCCAGCATGTTTGGATTATGCGGAGACGCTCTTCGTAGCGACCGTACTAGTGACAATTTCGTTCACCACGATGTGTTCCTGTGCAGAGTCCTTTGCAACGGCTTTTAGTGCCGGCTCAGTATTGAGTTTGTGGTACTGAAGAGACCATCAGGCGCCTGCGAGTCGGTACTGAGTGAGTACATGCCTTCTTCACGGTTGTCCAATCAGTGATGTTAGAGAGATCCTCCAGCGGAGATAGCGTGCCGGTGACGACACGAGACATAAGCTCCTGGACGTTGCTCAAATGTGGGGAGGAGATGCGGACGACAATCAAGGAGGTTGTGCTGTCTGCCACACCATATCGCCGGATGGCTTCGCTGATCTGAAGTATCGAAGAAGCTGTGAACAATCCGTTAGCCTAAGAATGACACGGAGAAGATTACGTTGTTGGTGGGATTGAGTGCCCAGAGGATTTCTGAATGGACAGTTTTCGTTCGTAACGAATCTTGAGCCTGGGCGAGGATGGCTTGGTACACGGCGGTCTGCAGGTGGAGGACACTGCAAATCTTGATAGAGGATGACGACAACTCTCGCAGCGGATATTGCGCGTGCGTGCTTACAAGACGAGCATCTATGAATGCGAAATTGACGGCTTCTCGTTCTGCCTCGCCGTCCGGTCCATGTAGTTGACTTGCACGCACGATGCGGGATCTGATTTCAGATGAATTGGTGACATTGTTGAAGAGGGCTACATGGACTGTTGAGAGCTCGGTAGGGAGATGAGGATAGTGGAATGTGTGCATGACGGACGAGCGCAAAGGGCAGGCAGATCTTGGTCGATCGGAAGCAGAGTACAGCCACCGCTGCCGCCTGGCCAGAGCTCCGTCTCCGCTGTCTCTGCCTCTAGCAATTCACTTGTAACAAACCACTCCCCTTGTCGCTCCTTCTGGCCCTTACCCGCCTTGCTCACATTCGCTGAAATATCCCCGTTGAAGCACAACCTCCGACCGCCACCATGCTCGCGTTTGCGAGGCTTCCTTTCTCTCTTCTCGTGTCCTCCCTCATCCTCGCTTGCACCGCTCTTCCCGTCCAGTCTTCCCAAACCGAGCTTCTCGTCCTCACTCCGGACAACTTCCAGTCTACAATAGCTCATGGAGTCTGGTGCGCTCAATCCCACTTGTTCATTTACCGTCAGCCATTGAGTATCACGCACGGCGAACGTCATGCTCGTACAGGTTCATCGAGCACTTCTCTCCCTATTGCCATCACTGCAAAGCCTTCGCACCTACATGGACAGAGCTCGTAGAGGCGAACGAGAAGAAGGCCGATCCCGGAATCCATCTTGCCCAGGTCAACTGTGCTGTGCATGGTGGTACGTCCGTGAACTCGCCAGTCTCATCGTCCCCTCGCCTGACATCGTTGTGCAGACCTTTGTGGTAAGAACGGAGTCACGGGATACCCGCAAATGAATCTTTATAAGGATGGAAAATACCTTGAAACCTTCAAGCAATCTAGGGACATCGACATCCTCACAAAGTACATCGCTGCTCACGCTGAACCCCGCAACCCCCCTGCCCCGGAACCCACCGCGAAGACGGAGAACGTTGTTCCATTGACCGCGGAGAAGGATGAACTTGTGGAGGAGATTGCGACCCGGGAGAATGTGAATCCTCACGGCATCGTGCTTTCGCTGGACGAGAAGAACTTCCAGGAGACCATTGACAAGGGTCACGTCTTTGTCAAATTCTTCGCCCCTTGGTGAGTTTCGTCAATATAGTGCTAGTCCCACGACCCCTCAGCTTTCTTGGCGCAGGTGCGGACATTGCAAGAAACTCGCGCCAATATGGTCGCAGCTTGGTGGCCTCATGCAGCACAAGCTTACTCTCGCCGAGGTCGACTGCGAGGCACACAACGCCCTTTGCAGGAAGGAGGGCGTCACTGGATATCCCATGCTTCAGTATTACGGTGATAAGAATACCAGGACCGAGTACACGGGCGGTCGCAAGCTCGAACAACTCAAGGCGTTCGCGGAGAAGGTTTCTGGCCCGTACGTGACCAGCGTAGATTATACTTTAACCTGAGCTAATGTCTCTTCGGCTCACAGGGGCGTCCAGGAACTCAAATTTGGGGAGCTGGAGACTCGCATCGCGGAGTATCCTGTCCTCTACCTGTTCCTGCACTCTCCGAACGATAAAGCTATCTTCGTAAGTCTGTCCTTCCTCTGATTGGCAGCAACTCTTCTGATGGTGCACCATAGAGACAGGTCATCGAGGCATCGAACGCATTGTTTGGTTCTCCACCGTTCTACACGTCAACATCCGCTTCGTTCTACGACCACTACAACATCCAGCCCGGTACCGCTGCTATTCTTGCGCTCAAGGACCATGACGCCTCTGCGCCTGCTGCAGTGTACACTCTGTCCAGGCCAGTCTCCACCCACGCGGAAAGACAGGAACTCGTTGATTGGGTATGTTCAGTGTCGAGTCCTTGCAATGCTCTACTCCTGACAGAGATTCCGGATCGTAGCTCCTCCGCAATCGTCTTCCCGGCGCACTCGAGCTTGATTCCGACAATTTCCAGGACATCATGAACGCGCCGCACAAGCCACTCGTTGTCATCGCTGCGACCTCGCAGAGCGACAAGGAGCGGACGGCCAAGGAGGTCACCGAGATGGCGCGCAAGTGGCGGGACATGAAGGAGCAAGCCCCTGTCGTCTTCACTTGGATGGATGCGGACAAGTGGGGCACCTGGCTCAAGAGCATGTACGGTATCAAGGCTAGTCACTTACCCCGACCCATAGTCGCCAACCACTCGGTACGTCGGCTCTCTCCCAGTGCAGAGCGACGAAGTCACTAACGAAGCTATCAGAGGCTTGTCTACTATGACGTTGATCCATTCGGGGAGACTGTCAAACTGACATCCGCTAGTCTTTTCCCTACCATAAACGGTGCTGCGAGGGGGACACTTTCTTACAAGCATTCCGAGAACATCATCGAGCGTCTTGCCCGAGTACGTTCACCTTTCCCTGGTATCGTCGCTCATCTAATTTGTTCTACCAGTACTTGAACGACAAGCTGGTCGCTATTGAGAAGTACGTCGTGAACAACCCGTGGCACACTGCGTTTTTCGTAGTCATTGGGATGGTCGGTCTTGGTCTTGGGGTCAAGCGGATTCTGGCAGAATCGGAAGATGCGAGAGAAGGGGGATATTTGCGTAAGGGAGATCGTGTCGATTAATATGTACATTTTGGGTAGTTCGTTAACTGCTCGTGTGGGTCATTGGATTGTAATCTACGTCTAGCGGAACATACGGCCTATAGATATTAGTACTGATACACTAATTCTACTTGGAGCATGAAATCATGTAGTATACAGTGAGCGACAAAGCAAATAAAGCGTGAGCAAGCCCGACAATGAATGTCCTGTAGACCAGCGTGAAGGGACCAGCCTGTCACAGCCCTATCAGGATGAGAAGCCAGGGCTGGACGACGGCGCGTCCGACCACGGCGAGACAGAGTCGTCAAGCATGATGCCACTGATCCGCTGGTAGACAGCAGGAGGGAACATCCTAGCCTGCAACCGCTGCAGCAAGGCCACTGCGCGCTCACGCTCGCCATTGCCGAGTTCCGCACGGACCATAGCTTCCCAAGTGGAAGGCTGCAATGAGGCTGTCAATACAGTGGATGGATTACAGAGAAGCGTTGGATGCTCACCTCACGGTACACAGGTGCTTCAGCAGGCACAGGGAGAACGTTCGATTGCTTGTTTTGATGTGGGAGATGATTGTGAGGCGCGGCTACACCTTCCTGAGGATCCTGCAGAGACTCGAAGATTTCGCGTGACCGCTCAATCTCGTTCACAGACGCGTATCCCTTGATAAGCAAGTTCGCGATGTATGCTGTCATGTGGACGCCGCTAGACTGGAGACGCTCCAGATACGGCGGGACGAGGTCCATACGACGAACTGTGACCAGCGTGTTGATAAGGGCCTCGTAGACGACGGCGTCAGGCATCGGAGAAGAATTCTGCTTGGTGGTAGGGTGCTTCGCGATCGAGTCGAAGACGGCAAGAGCCTTATCGAGATCCTTCTGCACGCAGCCCCAGGCGTTGATGAGCGCAGCCCAGTGGGTACCCTGAACAGAGACGGATCGGTCTGCAACAAGCTGCTCGAAGACCTTCTCCATGGCCGAATCGTCCACAGGTTCGATGGAACCGTATGCGTCGATAAGAAGCTACATAAGAAGTGAGTCATCACCGTCTAGACCGCGCAGAGGAATGTGCACCATACCTTATAAGTGTGCGCAGTGGGCTGAACATTGGCGGCCAAGAGCTCATTGTAGTAATGAAGAACACGGCTGCGATCCGGCTTCGTGTGGGTGTAAAGTTGCATCATGGTATTGTACGGTGGAACGCGAGGCTTGAACGTGGGCTCGCTCGTCATCTCCTGGAACAGAAGCTCCGCGGATGCAGCGTCGCCGACACGGCAGCACGCGGCAATAACGGCACCGTAAGTAACTGACGTAGGCTGTATGTTCTGCGCTTTCATATCCTGGAAGAGCTGCAGCGCGTAGTCGGCCTTGCGTGCTTTTGCGAGCTTCGAGATGATGGTGTTGTACATGAAGATGTTTGGCACGACCCCGAAGTTCTGCGACTCCGTGAAGAGCGCCATCGCATTGGACGTGTCGTCGGTGGTGTCCTTGACGTTCAATATGAGAGCTCCGTACGCGTCAGCGGAAGGAACACCGCCCTGCTGGAGAATACGCTGCCGGTGAGCGTGAGCCGCCTCAATGTCGCCTGCGTGGGCTAGCCCAACGATCATGTGGTCCTCGATTAAGAACCAGCCAGATGTCTGCCACTGCTTGACAGTTTCCAAAGAGTTGAGGACAACCTGCGCGGCGTCGTAGACCTCGTGAATCTTCTCGACCTCGCCAAGACGACCGAGAGCACTGATGAGACGAGCCAACACAATAGGGCGAGGGAAGATGCCCTTCCCCGCGCCAGACTTGAACCGCTTGAACGCTGTGAGCACCGAGATCTTGTTACCACCAGGATAGAACTCGCCAACGTGTTGACTGTAGGCGGTGTCGACGCGACCGGAGGAGTACGAGGACGAGAGCGGGGTGCCAGGAATGTCTTCTACGGGGGAATTGGCCTCAAACGACTGTGGCTGGCCAGAGGGGGACGTCTGGGAAGCGCGCTGAAGCTCAGCCAGACGGCTGGAGAACGGCTCACCAAGTTGAGCAAGCAACGTCGCTGAGTTCATGTCGTTCGAAGCAAGGCTGCGAACGAGATGGTTCTTCGCAGTCTCGCTGAAGGCAGTGATATCAACCGAGTGCATAAGGAGATCGTCCACCAATGTGTTCAAAGTAGCCGAAGAGTCGGCTTCGTTGGCGACCACGATGTCCAGCAACGCTTCCCAGTCCTTCGTCGAAAGCGAAAGCGCAGGACTCGCGCGCTGGAAAGCATATGCGTTAAGACAAGACTCCGATAGCGCGGTGGGCACCAGCGCGCCAACATCCGTAAGTAGGGCCGACAACCGTAGGAAGCTCGATAACGGGGCACTTGGACCAGTCTTGAACAGGATCTCGGAAGCCACATCAGTAGCGAAGCGGCGAGTGCCCTCGATCCTACGCTGCGACTGAGCCGAATCAAATTTGCCTTGGGCCTGACCATGACGGATGACCTCGAGTTGCCGTGTAGCGATACGTGCAGCGAGATCTAGCGCATCGTCCGTGTGTCCGCGGTTCCAGTACTGCATGACGAGCCTCTGGCACAGGGAGCGAGAGGTGTCGCGATAGAAGGTGAAGTGACCGCTTTCGATATCCCAAGGGAGGACGTGGTCCGTCAAGAAGTCCAGAAGTTCGTGTGCCTTTGCCTGATCCAGGTCTGTGCGCGTGTCCATGAACCTGAGGTTTGCCGCAAGGACACAGTCCCTGTGGTCACTCCATACGGCGGCACCTTCCTGTGAAGCGATGATTTGCCAACGGACAAACAACCGGTTCGCCTCCGCGACCATGCCTTCGTCAGCCAACGCGTCAAACATGGTCGTCCACGTAGATGCATCAGGACGGTGAGGGACGCGAGTGGTCGCATGCGGATCGCGAGAAGGGGAGTCTTGCTGGAGCATCCGCTCAAACCACGCCAGGGCAGTCGACACATCGCCAAGTTGGCAGAATCCGGTGATAGCACGAGCGAAGGTGGAGGAAGTCGGCAGGGGAACATCCGTTGCGTGAAACGTCTCACCAGCGGAAGTATCCATCATCTGCTCCAGGAGTCCCAGAGCCTCAGTGGGCTGCCCGCAGCGGAAGTACGCGGTCAGCATCTCGTTCCAGACGGCAGTCTGGGATGCGCGTTGCCGGTATGAGAGATCCTCGGGGGAAGTGTGGCCTGCGACGGCATCGAAGGACCATTGGACGCGCTCGAAACGGGAAGCCTCCTTGAATTGCTCGAACATGCTCTCGGCTCCATTCAGGTCGTGACGGCTCGCGTACGTCTCGATAAGGCTGATGTACGTCTGGGCGTCGGGATAGATGTCTCCGCGCTTCTCGAGATGGGAATAGACAGCGGATGCCGCGTCGACATTGGAATGAATGGCGCATGAACGGAGGAGCTTGTTGTAAACTTGGAGGGGGAACTTGGAGGTAGGATTTACGGCGGCTGTCTGGAAGAGCGCAAGTGCGGACTTGAAGTGGGAGTCCCCTCGAAGGCTGGCGATACGCTTCTCTTCCTCCTCGAGGCCCTCGTCAATGGCAGCACGACGACGGCGACGAAGGCGGGCTTCTGCGCGACGAACGGCCTCGTGATTCTCGAAGTCGCGATCGGTGAGGGTATTGATGAGGGTCGCATAGGTGCCAAATCCTGAGCGGATGAGCTGGGACGCGTCGGAAGTGGGATCGGCGGCGAGGTGCTGAGAGCGCTGAGAAGGGACACGGAAGGCAGACAATTTCTCAACGCGGACGCCGACTTGAGTGGAAATGGGAGTCCCCTGCTGTGCGGGGTTGTTATTTGAGGAGGCAAGGAGAGCGGGTGATGTGTACTCACAGGGTGAGAGGTCTGAAGGCGACCGCTGGCATGGAATTTGGAGGGACCTGGACCGCTGTGACCAGGACCGCTGGAGACAGAGGAACCCCAGCCTGTTACGGCGGTGGAAGAGCCGGAAGAAGACTGGAGTTGGAGGACATTGCGAAGGGTGTGGCCGGTCTGGTTCTGGACGGCGACGACCGCCCTATGAGTGTGGTGGAATAGCTGATTGGCGACCTTTGGGAGCATGGCGGCGGTGGCATACAAGCCGACTGCTGTCCACGACTAGCCAAGCGGGTACGCGGACGATGTGCGAGGCCCAGACACTGGACTCGAGACGAAGATGACGGGCGGAGAGAAAAGGCGGCGCGCCTGCTTGGCCGCCCGCACGCATCACAGCGTGCGGGCGGCCA